TCATATAATTTTTTTTTGTATAACGCCTGTGATGTAAGCCCATGTAATGTAAATGGTTTCTAATGGTTTGAAGAGTCACGTCAAATATGTCGGCAAAATAACGCGTTGGTATAAAGCCAGATTCCTCATAACTCCGTCTCATGAAGACTCGCGGAGTATCTGATATTTCAGGTCTACGACCGCTACGACTCCGAGCGTTCAAATTCCCCTCCTCGCTTTCTCGTCTTATCCAAAGACGGACAGCTTGTCTCTATAATCAAAAATAAAATATGAACAGAAAAAATAAAAAACATTTTTTAAACTCGGACTTGGTCTGAGATTTTACATTAAACTCACGTCAGACATAATAATACTTACCGACACATTTAATTCTCTAGAAATCTCACTAATATTCAAACCATCATTGTGTAATGCGATTATTTGTGCTCTTTCGTTAATGGATTAATTTCGGGGCATTGTAGTGTAAATTAATTAGGAAAATACCTACGGAAAATGCCGAGAAAATATTTGACATGAATTGTCAAGTGATATATTCTTTTTCAGTAAAAGAGTTTTCGTAACAAAATAGTTTCCACTTTGAAGTGACCTACTTAAATTTTAAATTTATGAAATATTGTGAAGACTATTTGTTGTTGCAAATTATTATCTAATGCATAGGCTGCAAAGGTCAAAATAACATTTGTGCTCTACGACAACACGTCAGCATTGTGCATCTCTTTTATTGTTTGTATGAAATTCTAAGATTCGCCTTTAGCGATGCTTTAAAGACACGGGAAATGTTGTCAAAACTGGTAGACCACTTTCTTGGCCGACCGTACATTTAAGTGTATCATTCAATCATCATTCGTTCTAAAAAGCTATTGTGACTTCAAAAGTTACACTATTCCATAATTCACTAGTACAATACTTTTGAAAGGGCTCGTGATAGATTTTAAAATTAGACACTAATTGTCTACCACAGTTCCCTACTGTATGAGCACAGGCCACAGGCCACCACCACGGGCCGGGACCAACAGCTTAACGTGCCTTCCGAAGCATGGAGTAGCCCGAAATAAAAATAAAATTGGTCACCCATCCCGTGACCGACCCTTGCGAAAGTTGCTTAACAACAATGTTCGCGGGCCGCGGCGTTTATCCACTACGCCACTGAGCTATTTACAACCATGTAACAAGTAAAAGGAATTATGAAATTTACTTTTAATAAAATCTTAATTCAATTGCATTGGCGTGTATATCTAATTGTATTATATTTATTTGAAGAAACGTTTATTAAGACACTCGTACAATAGATCCACTTAATTAATTTCACGTACAATCTTAATTGGTTCCTTTTCTTTCAATAGCGCTCATTGAGCTCTTTTGTTTATAATACGTACACATTACCTTTAATTTATAAGGTAACGAAGGGTCTTGTATTATAACTGTATCATATTTTAGCAGACAAATTTGAGACATATGTTTTGTTTTAAATTAGCATATGTGTATTATCAATCTAAACAATTGTAATTAAATATATACTAACCTACCTTGTATTGATAAAAGCCGCATTAAAATTTGTCTGTAAATTTTTGAGTATGTCGCATTTCATACTGACAGACAGAGCGAAAACTTTATTTATATTTTATAATGTCCTTGATGTTTCCGTAGGTGAAAGAATTATTAAAATCGATCCAGTAGTTTTTAGCGTATTCGATGCAAACAAACAATTCCTTCCTCTTCATAATATTACTAGCTTTCCGTCAGCGGTTTCGCCCGTGTATTCCCTAGGAAACTGCACGGGTAGCATGACAAACCCGAGAAACGCTTTATCTACACTCATTTGTCAGTTTCTCGCGCACCCGAGAAAAGTGATATTTGAATGTAGACTTAGTTCATCATATCGTCCGATATCGATTCATGTCATAACACGGATATACTTAGTCAAGTTTCGGTCGCGGAAAGTATTAAAAAAAATATATATATAATTTAATACTATTAAATATTAAACTATTAAATTAACTTAACCTAATGAACAGATCCAACCGCGGTTGGATACAATATGCTGCTGTGTAACCAGTGTTCCTCATTTTCATAAGGGGCCATCCATAAATTACGTCACACAAAATACATGACTTTTAACCCCCCCACCCCCCTACTTTCACCAGGCTTTAATGTTTATCTTAAATGTAATCGTGGGATCGACCAGGAATTTATTGTTTATTTTATTTCTGGTTTTTTTTAAATAAAATATAGCCTTATATCACCGCTTCTGATGCTTACCGCAGGTAAAAGAATTTTAAAAATCGGTCCAATAGTTTTGGAGTATATTCTTTGCAAACAAATAATCTAATGTTTCCTCTTTATATTATTATACGTAGTATAGAAGAATAGATAGTGAATAATTCTATTATCTAATACTCTTCTTTATAGCAAACGGCTGGTGTATTTTTGTCACCATGACTTCCATGACGGTGACTGAAAGTCATCTGTTACTGCGTTCCTGTTATTTCTGAAGAAGTCTCCCAATTGTCCCTTGTGTACACACAAAAAATCAAATTGACTTTCGTGAATTTGATTTTTTGTCTACTGTCATCTTGCTTAAGAATCCTTCAGGTGGCGCGCACCCTAGAATGTATGAACCTGGAACAAAACACAAATAACAAATCACCGCGAAAGCAGCCTTCGCCACGGTGACAGGGGACAAAATGTCAAAACTTAGTCATCAGTGTTTGCATATCGTAAGATCGCTAAACTTCATATCAATTTTTTCTCACAAATAGATAAGGATACATTTCTTTAAATTTTTCATTATTGTTTACGGTAATAATCTTATCAGTTGCTATGCCGTTCTTATTGTTCTTATCATTAACGTATAGTTACTATCTTATCTTTTTAAACAAAAATTTAAATCTATTATTTAGTGGATGCATATTTTGAACCCGATTTAGCTGTTTTCTTAATCACCAGCAGATGTATGTGTCAACAAACGCACTCGCGTATGTTATTTCCCATAGTTGAAAGAATTTAAAAAATCTGTCCAGAAGTTTCGGAGCCTATACGTTACAAACAAACAATCAAATCTTTTCTGTTTATATTATTAAAGTAGATATTTTTAGAAATAATTATGATAATGATATCAATCCATCGCATTGCGGAAATTAAATAAAAAAATACATACTCATAGGCTGATGATGAAAGAAAAATATTTGAGAATTTACATTAATTCACACGCTGTACTAACTTTATTGTAATATCGATAGAAGAACTTACAATATAAAAAAGAAAATCATTATTTAAGTAATGAATGAATAAAAAAAACGTTTCATGACAGTGAAAAGACATATTTCATGTAAAAAAATACATACTAATAACAAAACTAAAAAGTTTGTTTGTTTGGTTGAACTCGATAATCTCAGAAACTACTAGTACCTACGAAGTTATTTTTTTTATGTTGAATAATTCATTTATCGAGGAAGGCTATATAACATCATGCTGTGACTAATAGAAGCGGAGCAGCAAAGAAAAATATTCCAAAGAGGGAGAATATTTTACTTTTTGGGAGCTTTCCTTGCGTGCGTTGCGTAAACGGTGAAAGTTAAAAAGTAAAAAATAAATAACGTATAAAAGGATCAAAATGGGAGTGGAAGGTTGTATAGGGCATTAAATCGTTACCTCAATAACCATTGTTGATAATTTGATTTGTCATTGTAATTATATTCCATGTCATCCTTTTCCAAATTCATTTTTGAATTATTTAAGCTGTTTAAGCAGGATTAAATATTTATTTAAATAATAATCTTTTACTTTGTACCTTAATTTTAAAAGCATGATGTGGTCGCCTTCAACAGAATTTTGCAATTTAGTATGTCCTACTGGTATGATTTTGTTTGTAAGATTTAATGAAAGTTTTCGCTGGTGTTTATCATTTATTTATTTATCGTACAATAGTCACTAATATTATGTTGGTTAAGTACATGAAAATGTTACATTATAGCTGATGATCATTAGATGACACCGTATTTTAAAACGGAATTTTGTTTCTTGTAGTCTTCATTTTTTTTTCCAACTTTTATGAAACAAAGTAGCTTTCGTTTTCAATTTAGAAGTTTCTCCGATAACATAATCCAGTGGGAAGTTGTTAATCGGGGTTAAAGATCGAATGTTACAATTAGTTGTTTTCGCTGCCGCTTTAAAACAGAGTTTTGATTATTTTTATGTTTCTCTTACTTATTGTTTTTCCGAATTTTATCTAAGTCGCTTTCATTTTCAATTTTGCCGTTTTTAACTTTCCTTAGTCAACAGTGAACCCTTATTTTTTCGCCATGTATGTTGGTCTGTCCGTTTATCCGTGGTTTAAGTCAAAATCGATCGTAAAATAAAATCTTGAAAAATAATTTATTCTGGTACATCCCCTACATGTTATGTTGGGGATGAAAAAAAGTAGCAAATACACCCATAAAAAATAGTAATTCATTTTAGTTACTAAACGATCTATATGTTTAAGCAAGAATACGTTCATTAGCAGTTTCTGTATCATTACCTATTTTTTTTATATTTAAGCGGATTTTAATTGGTGGTTTGATTAGTAAATCATTAAAATCCCATGTTTGCGGATTAGATAACACAATTCATTAAAAAACACACTAGAGAAACGAAACGTCATTATATTAACTATAGAGGGGCGTTGCTTCGACTACAAATACGATCACGTGTATTCTATATTTGCAGATTTGCGTGAACTTATCAGTTAAATATTCAGTCAATTGACAGTTGACTGCTATTACTACCCATGTGGTACTTTTCAATTTATCTAAAACATCTTTTTTTATCAGTATTATCGTAATCGGTAGAATCACGCTACTAGTCAACAAATATTACTTAACAACGATCTATTTGCGCGCGCGCAGTCAACGTCGAGCCCTCAGCGTGCACTGCCGTTCTCGCGCGCGTTCTAAATTTAAAAGACCTTGACATTGCTTTTTTTAATATGCTACATTGAAATACAACGGAGTTTTGACAAAATGTTGAGTTCAGTGAAAGCGGGAAAGAGGATAGTATTTTTAAATGAATACTATTTATACGGTCGTGCGAGTTATCATTCTGGGATAGGTGTGTTCGGGCATCGACCGCAGACGGTGAATGAAGTCGGTATGTAAATTATATGGGCTGACTTTAACATCATACGGATTGCTTGTTTGTGTGAGCAAAATATCAAGCGGCATTAAAATAAAGTACTCGCAATAAAAGTGTGAAAGATGGGAATGACATTCTGTGATAGCTTTCGTAACAAACAATATTATGCTCTGGTAGTTTTGATGAAAATAAAAAAAATTGAATTCAAAATTACTTTCATTTCTGTAAACAACAAAAATAAAGTAATATAATCTAAAACACTGGTCTAAACTAATTGTGACACTGCAAAACCACAAATTACATTGATAGTTTCCGAGTTTCTTGCCGGTTCTTCTCGGTACGAGTTCTCCCGCCATAGACTTACGAACCGAAGGCATAAAGTTTTTACTTTCACCAGTGCTTTGTAACAGCTTAGACTGAAGAAATTATTTTGAATTAATTTGATAAAGGAAATTTTAGCGATAATGATGATAATCGCTCACATGTTACAAGAAAATTTCCTCTGTTGAGTTTATCTCGACGGTTTTCATTAATTGATGAAATAGTTTAAAAGGAAGTTGTATTTAATTCATCATATTTGTGGAAGATATAAAACATAAAATTTATTTATGGAAAATAGATAAACCAACAGGTTTATGTATGTCCTTAAAATAACTGATTATATTCTATGTAGGTAGGTATATCCCCGAGATTACTGATTATAAACTGACGTAATATTGACTGTTCAATTTACTTGATTAGTGAAAATTTGAATTTGATTACAGAAATATATCAAAATATCGCATCAACAGTTTTCCTAGCAAAATAACAATTATTTTCAATTGTTTCCACTACGTTGGTATTACAGACGAATTTCGATAGTTTTCTTTAAAGTTAGTAAAAATGAATTCAAAGTTAACTTCTGTGTAAAAATCCTAAGATTGAAGATAGAAGAAGTTATAAAAATATAAATAAATTATATTTTTTCACAATTTCACTCACTTTTCATTACTAAAAACTATGTATTTTTTAAATTATAATGTTTTGCTACACTTTTGGTGAACAAAATCTTTTTAACTTATTATTCTACGTATTTACCCTGTGAATTCTTGTGGCCCCATTAGACGGTCGTTACAATAAATTGCTCGATGACCACAGTCCATGTAAATAGTTCCTTATCTTATTAATTAGATTAAAAGCAATGATCATTACCATCCCATATTTAACCTAATATGATTCAGTTAATTACATAAACACTAATAATATCGATAGAATAGAAAAGGAAAGTTTTTAAAAGATGTCTCGCACCCAAGATTCAAGGTGTCCTTTTCTGAGGTCGTAGTTCAATTCCTGATCCGATCAATGCTGAACATCATATTTTCTATATTGCTTCGGATCAGAATATTATTGTCTCTCCGTTGTTTCGAATTGCCCTAACACAGTTATTTTAACTCCTTGATTAAGGATTAGTCTGCTGATAATGTTTTCAAATGTTTTATGCGGTCTTCGCACAATTATTGATTCAAATTCATTTATTTGTCAAATTTTTGGTTATACAAACATACGCAAAGATGTTAAAGCCAAGGCAAATCCCAGCAAAAATCTGCCTAGTACGGCGTACAAATATTACATAAAAAGACAAATTAGATTTAATTATGTCATGAATTCATAATAAATGTCAATTATTAAATTAAACAATGCAAAATTAAATCAAGGGAAAAAATGTCAATTATACGCGAGAATTAGTTTTTAATTAGCATACATATAATCTTTTAAACTAATCTGGATTTTTTAGTACAAAGATGCAAATTTCATAAATGTACAAACAAAGCAGCGGTAGAATATTTAATCTTTTAAATAAAGGCACACAGCTATCGCGATACCCCGCTAATTGTATACATCTCCGATAATTGTATATATCTGAAAAAAAATCAAATGTAAATTCGTAGTCGAGTCAATGTCATGTCAATGTAAAGTCTTGCTGTCATGTCTGAATGCCAAGCTAAGCATATATCACATTAATTACAACATTTGTAAGATTACTCTTCACGAAACCCTTCAAATATTGTCATACGAAGATACGGAGCGATTATTATTAGTAAATTAGTAGAAATGTAGCTTTAAATAACGTTTATATTAATAAATAGCATTAAATCTTTATTGTACATATGTTTAACTTATGTAAGTATTCTTCATTTTATTTTTATAGTGATAGTTTATTGTTATTTACATAAGTGTTTTTCTCTGCCTAGCATACAGGAAATTTCCTATTTTATTCACTTGTGGTACTATATGAATTTTATATAGTTATCTCTAGATTTTTACACCGTGTTCATAAGTGTTTTAATAAAGAATTTATATTAATGTAAAATAAATAATATTATATTAATGTAAAATAAATTATTCTTGTCTTGTTTCGTGTCTGAATGTTGCGTTATCTATTATTTCTTATAACACAGGGACGAGTTAGTGTTATATATTTACAATAATTGCGATATGTACGAAAATATTATGTGCTTTTCAGAGACTATACCGCAAGACTTGGTGAGAAAAAGGTACGAGAACTGCCGTGCCCAACAACTAGTTAATGCTTACCGTACACACGGACATCTCAAGGCAACCATAGACAACGTGGACTTTAGAAATGCAAAGAAGTATGTATATTAAAAAAATGTTATTATTCAAAGACATTAAACTACATTTAGCTATTGATTTTAGTAAAATAAAAAAGTCAGAAGCGCGTTGGACTCGTGCGTTGAAGGTCCCGATTAATATAAAAAATCATAGACTTACGTTAACTGTCTTATATAACTGTTTTCTGCATATATATTTTTTTAATTTTGGTTAATAAAGGTTAATGGAAGACCTTAGCGTCTACAATGTCTTTATATTACTGTATATTGGTTAATAATTAGAGTGTCAGGATTGTCAATAGGGGTTTCTAATCAAATTTCAAATTTAATCATAAGCAAGTTGACTTAAATTTATTTCAATAAATTATGTTGTCATATTAACTTGTAATTATATTATTTTGTTATAAAAACAAAAGTGCTAATCCGATTTCGATACGAGGGTCAAACTGAAAGTTCTTAGAAAATCAAAAACTGATTACATTAGCCAGTTATTAGTTTTATTATATCTTTTCAAAATATTGTCCATTCACGTCAATACACCGCTGCATGCGATGGAACCACTGGGAAAAGCACTTTGCCCACTCGTCCTTAGGGGTCTCTTCAATGGCATCGCGATACGCAGCCACCGCTTCTTCAGCATTCATAAACCGCTTTCCTTTAAGTTTTTCTTTAATTTTTGGAAATAAATAAAAATCACAAGGCGCGAGGTCGGGGCTATACGGCGGGTGACCCAGTAATTCAACGTTTGATGTCGCCAAATAGTCGATCGTTCGCTTGGCGGTGTGCGACGAGACGTTGTCGTGGTGAAGGAGGATCCTACTGCGAGGTCGTTTCTCTCGAACTTTTTCCAAGACAAGTGGCAAACAATTGGTAGTGTACCATTCTGCAGAAACTGTTTTTTGATCCTCTAACACAATTGTTGCAAAATGACCTATCCTTCCAAAGAACGAGGCCACCATTTTTTTCCCGCACTTCGATCTCTCTTCACTTTAGTTGGCAACTCCTCGAAAGGAAACACCCACTGAGCAGATTGTCTTTTGGTTTTAGGATCATAACAGTAAATCCAGCTTTCGTCACCTGTTAGTATGTCGAACACAGCATTTGAGTCACCTCCGTTAAATCTTTCAATCATTTTACGACACCAATCCACACGATGGAGTTTTTGAGCCTCAGTCAAATTATGAGGTATCCACCGGGCGCAAAGCTTCCTGACCGCTAAATGTTCGTGGAGGATTTTGTGCACTTGACTCATACCGATGCCTAAGCTTGTCCGAATCTGTTGATAGGTCACTCTTTTGTCAGTCTCTATCATACGCCGCACAACACAGATGTTATCTTCAGTCGTCGCCGTAGAAGGCCGTCCCTCACGTAAATCATCAGTGAGATTAGTGCGACCACGTTTAAACTCATTAAACCAGTTGTAAACAGTCGCACGAGATGGGGCTTCATCGTGAAAGGCCAATCGTAGTCTATCATGACTTTCTTGTTGACTTAAATGACATCGAAAGTCATAAAAAATCATTGCACGAAAATTTTCTCGTGTTAAATTCATGATGACGTGACACAGACAATTTTCAATTTGCCGCCAAATCGTAAAACAAATGACAAATGAATGAAATATATACTCAGTAATATTGGCAAAGAGTTATATTTTCAAATTTTAGAATTATTTTTTTATTATATTGTTTATAAGTGGCCAGTTCTAAGAACTTTCAGTTTGACCCTCGTAACATTATTATTTGACCAATAGCTGCAAAAATAGTTATAAATATTTTATAGTTTATTGGAACCTTCTTTTTAAATCCTCCTTCTCCTTCCTTTCTTCCTTCTTTTTAAATTTAAAGTTATTTAAAAAATTAATATGTGTTATAGTTATAATATAATGAAAATACTGATTTTTATAAATACTCGCAGAGAGATCGGTGAACTCCATTTGGGAAGATACGGTATTTCAGAAGAAGAACAAGTGGATCTTGGTTTGCTCTACGGGTTCAATGGAAATGAATCTGCTAAGAATCTGGTGGAACAATTAGAGAAGATTTATTGCGGACCAATATCCTACGAATTTTCATATTTGGAGGCAAGTATTAGTGGTATTATTATATTTTTATTAAATTTGGCATTCTTAATGCTACGAAGACGTATATACGTATATGGTTCAGAGGTTAGAGGGGTGCGGTCTCGAAAGTTAAGCAATATCCGTAAGAGCCGGTCATAGGATGGGTTCATCATCATCATCAGCCCTTTTCCGTCCCCACTGCAGTGGCTCAAGATACAGCCGGAACCAACGGTTTAACGTACCTTCGTGTCATAATATTTTTGATCACCCAGCCCGTGAGGAACCTTGTGAAAGTTGCTTAACAATACCTATAACTTCAGGATTTGTTACCAAACATTTATTGTCACGAGTTCCTCCGTACTTCCTAAAGCACGGAAAGCTGCAGTCGTAAATATCCACCATCCGCACTGGTACCCCGTGGTGGGTAATGGCCTGTATCCTTATTAGATTTGAGTCGATTCCATTCCGATAAGAGTGGCTTGAGCCCGAACAGTTGGGAGTTGTATAGGTCGATGATTACAATACTGTCTTCTCAATTAATATATCGCGCTGACACTAATACTCTCGTCCTATTAGAGTATAGATTAGAAACAGACATATATTATCTGCACATTCACATTCATTAGTATTCCATTCTTCATTGCCCTTAATTTGTTTAACGTCCGCGTAAATGACTAATTTGATAATGGTATGTTTACAATAATTATTAGGAAAGGTCGGGATATTCTCTTATCTTTTAGACGCATGTAATATCAATTTTAATATGTATTCATGTACCCTGTTATCGTACATTCTTATTTTTATTTATTAATACATAAATTCACAATGTTCTTTACATCCATTAACCTAAACTAGGTTGATGGGTGGTTAGATTTCGTTTACTTAATCTTGATACAAAATGCTAAAAAAAATCACTTGGTCCCTGGCACCCTGAGATGGGAATCGAACCCAAGACCTTTCGCAATTCGGGCGACTGCTCTAACCGCTGAGCCTTCGTTTAGTTAAGTTTACAAAGCAGTACCACACACTAGACACCAATATATTTTAGATGACTGATTTATAATCGTTTAATTTTTCTTTATAATGAGTCGGTTGTATCAACTTTAACAATACAAACATGTTAAACCGTACCGGCTTAGCAAATAAGGGGTTGCACCGTTTGATAATGATTATATGACGTCATAACTGTATCTATAACCGCCAAAGCTTTGTTGGTTATAGTAATTGTTTCTCTATGCCAAGAAAGAGAATGGTGTGACGCAAGAGACATATAATTTTATTAGCGTCTACAATGTCTTTCATTAATTTTATTTTCACTTTACATGTAGAAATTTATTTATTAACTTGACATTGGCAGAATTGTGCGAAATTCGCAGATAAGCCATTAATAATAAAAGAAGAAGAAGAAGTCATTGTGAAAGTCAGCGTGACTATATTGTAGTATGAAATGAAGTCGCTTCCCGCTGTCTGTACGCCGAAATCTTGAAACCATACAACGAATTTTAATTCGGTTTTCATTAATATACAGAATCATTCAAGGGGATGATTTCTATGCATAATACGGGACCATCCGGGCAATGCCACTGGTTTTGAAACAGCTATTATGATGCAATCTAGTCTTAAGATTCTTATTTGCCTTTTACATAAATCAACAATTACAAGAAGACAATGTTTTTTCATAAAAAGATTTTTTGTTGTAGAGCGAGTCGGAAAGAGAATGGTTTGCCAAACGTATTGAGAGCGAAGAAGACACCTTCGATAAAGAGAGAAGAGTAGAGATAGTCAAAGAAATGCTTCACTCTCAGGCGTGGGATAAATTCTTGAGCGTGAAATATCCAACAGTGAAGAGATATTGCGGAGAAGGCGCAGAATCTCTCCTTACATTCTTCTCTACGTTATTTAGACTGACTACGGCTGGTGAGTTAATTATAAATTTTCTGATTTTCCAGGAAAATGTTATTAAAAATTGGCCAAATTCAATGTTTCTCAAGTGATGTAATAATTCAGAGATTCCCAAACAATTTTTCTCGTAGACCATTTTAAAAAATTTACTGGTTTCGGTGGACCCCCTGCTGCTACATTTTTATCATATTCCCAAAATTCGTCCAAAATGTGAAGATCTAACGATGGAAATTGGCGGCGCGGGTGAATACGCAGACCCCCGTTAAATCCCTCATTTAACCCTAGGGGTCCACCTGGACCACATAGGAAATCACTGTATTAATTAAAGAACTACTTTTAATTTATTTTTTCAATCTCCGCACTGATTTACTGAAATGGTTGCAAAGGAAATGTACAATGGTAAAATGCAAACAGTTGAGATTATATCCAGATGCGATTATAACAGTGCTATGAATAAACAAAATTTAGCGTCAGAGTAAATTTACGCTGAAATTGCAATTTTAGTATCAGTCCAAATTCATGTTATACAGAAAATAAGCAAACCTACTTTCATCTAGTAGTAAATGTTACTCCCGTAGAACCTCGTACAAGGTTAACCTTTGCTAAGTCTCTGTTTAATGATATGAATTTTGACTAATACTAAGTGCAATCTCAGCGTAAATTTACTCCAACGCTAAACCTTGTTTATCCCATATACACACACTGTAGCAGAAATGGCATGCTGGGCGCTCGCTATCTATAATATCAAGATATCTCTCTATAGCTACTCGGTTCAGTCTGTGATAAAGAAGTGACCAAGAATTTTTAGCTCAAGCTCCTGTAGTTTAGACTTTGAAAATCACGTTAAGTTGTTTGTGCAGGCTGCATCGGCAGTATTAACATACCCACCAATCCGCATTTGACCTGTTGCGTAGTTTATGGTCCCTTCGCCCTATTTTTTCTATCCACAGGGAAAGACTGCGTATAGTAGAGGTGACATTAATACGGTGACGACGCTCTATTTGTCTATACCAATATTAATAGAAAAGAAAATTTCATATTTGTATGTTGTGATGGTTCAACGTACGGATCGGTTTAAAAAAACAAATTTCTTATCATATAATTTGTAACACTATCAAAATTCAATAAAGAGAATAACTCTGAAAATTTGAAAAAAAAAAATTATATCATTTAACCTTCTAAACTACTTCTTGGTTTACTGCAATTTAATTACAAATACAGAAAGTTTTATTGCTTATATATTTTTTATATTTCTGTCTCGGCGAACGCTTGATACGTAAGTTCATCTCGCTCTTGGCTTGTTCATTCAATAACTATTTATATTTATTTCAGAGGGGGTCGAACACGTGATTCTAGCGATGGCTCACAGAGGCAAACTTAATGCACTAACGGGAGTACTTAAATGTCCTCCAGTGAAGATCTTCAACAAATTCAATGGACAACCAGAGCTTCCCGCGGACGCCTACGGAACGTGTGATATTTCAACACATCTAAGTGAGTCATTGACCAATATATGTATGTAGTCAGATAGTTTCAATACTGCATTCTACTCCCGGAGGAACAAAATGGCGCAGTGTTTAATACGCTCGGTCTGTGATACGGTTGTTAAGCAATGTTCGCAAATGCCGGTTATAGGGTGGATGACCAAAAACGTCTTCGGAAGGCACACTGGCCCCGGCTGCATCTGCAATCATTAATAACCACCAAATCCGCACCGGGCCGGCGTTGTAATCTTTGTATTAGTTTAAAACGATATGTAATTGAAATGTTATTAACGGATAAATAGATAAATTAAAAATTTTAGGTTATATTACTACTATAGCTTTCAGTAAAAAAACTTTAAACATAACCAAAAGTTCTGAATGTTAGTTAATTAACAAAATAATATTTTTATAAGTATAATACGAATGAAACCTTTTTGCAGAAAAACCAACTTTATTTCAATATAACGTTTATTAAAACATGATGGAATGGTTTCATTCGTGTTTCCTCCTATCCTACTTTTAACTTTGAAGAAGTAGGTTAGATTTTTAAACTTGTTCAAAATTCGAAGTAAAATGTAAATAACTTCCCCCCTTAAGTATTTTATACACCTAATACTTACTGAGTAGCGTATTTAAAAGCTCGATTTACACTTGAATGAGTACACTGATTAGTAAACGTGTGAATTCTAAAAAATCTGAACTTACTGAGTTTTAATAGAGAAAAAGAAGAAAGAAAGAAAAATCAGTTATTGAACACTCACATACACATGCAATTTTAACAATAGAGTGCATCCAATGTGGTTTCCAAAAGGTGCCAACTCGATATGTGCTGCAGTTAACTAAAACGCCGCTTTTCAGTTGACCCCATTATGTGGTGACGTTCAGCTTGGTTCAAATCAAATAAAAAAAAGTAGTGATAATCATATTATAGTAATTTTAAAACATAAAATTCCATATACATAATTCCATAATATACAATTTCATATATATGTTACGCTCAAAGATCGAAAACGCTCAGTGAGCGGAAAAATAGCTCACAACGCGTTGTGGTCACAGTGAAACATCCACATGGCGAAATTCGTATTATGGCTCTAATGAAAACGCGCACGACGCGTTGTGGCAATCACAGAAAGACCAAATAGCGAAATTCGTGTCGTGGCTGACATGCTACTCGATCTCAACGCGTTGTGGCAATGAAAAAAAGCCATGATGCGTTCTGAGCATTTATTGTAAGTAAGCAAGGGTTTATAATGTGCCACTGCAAAAGATACTGTATTGATAAAAAGTGCAAGTGTCGCTCCAAGAATATAAAATGCAACTCCAAATGCCACAGTAATAGTTCCTGTAAAAATAAATAGCAATCAAATACTTATTTTAAGTACATTATTGTTGTTTATTGGTGGACAATAAACATTTATGTTTGTGTTAAATATTTTTATTACTTGAAAGAATTTAAATTGTCATAAAAAAAATTAAAATCCCTAATTATTTTAAGTGAATTGTAAGAAATTTACAAATGATTGACATTTTGTGTTCAGTAATTTATTACTTAATATTAATACGTTGATTTTTTTAAATAAAAAGTAATCTCAATAAACAACAAATATCGTTTTATTTTAATTTATATAATATATTTCATAATAACAAACACGTTATGCAGTGATTTTATAAAATTAAAAATATTTCCTAAGGACATCTACCAAAACGTTTCCAGCCTAGGCCTAGTAGGATCCATATCGGAAAGTAGTGTGCGTCGTAATCAAATAATATTCCATACGCGTGATGGCTTTTCTTCATTGCCACAACGCGTTGAGATCGAATAGCATGTCAGCCACGACACGAATTTCGCTATTTGGTCTTTCTGTGATTGCCACAACGCGTCGTGCGCGTTTTCATTAGAGCCATAACGCGAATTTCGCCATGTGGATGTTTTACTGTGACCACAACGCGTTGTGAGCTATTTTTCCGCTCACTGAGCGTTTTCGATCTTTGAGCGTAACATATATAAAGAATTGTAATACAATAAAATATACCTACGTTCATAAATCTGAAATATATTTTTGTTGCATAAAGAAAATTTGAAGTTGCAACCTCTTTGCTGATTTTTAAAGACACGCGTGCCCATCTTGATTTTATATTTTCTTTTTTTTTTCCTATGAGTGCGTCTAGTCTGCGTTCTCTTTTGTTTTCTTTATCTTACGCTGTTTCATTGAATTTCACAATACACACCAATATTTTATTCAATTATTGTAAATCAAAGATTTCTTGCAAATTCTTTATTAAATTACTTAATTTACAAATTTATATAGCGAAGAATTTTTATTTACGGCGTTGAAATTTCATTTTAATTACATGGTATTTTGTTGTTTACAGTTATTTTTGTAATGATATTTGGTCTTTCAACCTCTTAAAATTGATATTTATGTTTTAGGTGCTTCGGTGGATATTGCTGTGAAGGACAAATCTGTTAGGTTTTCCCTGTTGAACAATCCTTCTCATTTAGAGGTAAGGTTGATTAAAAAATAATCTTGTTTGTAGGTATATTTTAAGCGCCGTTATTCTCTAAGTGGTCTAAATTGACCCGCAGGTCGACAAGAATCTAATCTCGATTCCATTTATCATGAGTTTTGGGAATATGGTATGGTTGAAAATAAAAAGTTTTAGGTTATGGGTTCACCACATCGCAGAGTGCAAAGGACAAAGTGGATTTTTAAGGATTTTTCATTAAAAATATTTTTCAGTAAAACATTGTGAATGTAAAATTAATGAAATATAAAAATTTAAGAACTTCTGTTATACATATTTAATATGTTGCCCTCATCACTCCGCTCAGTAGCAACCGTTTATATTCTGAAATTCTCATTTATTCCAGTTTTATCACTTTGCCCTCCCCCCCCCCCCCCCTACAGCGATGCGTCATACCACACCGTTTATTCTGCCCTAGGTTCCCGCATCCAAAATTTTTGTCTTCGAGGTTTAATATCATTTCCTTTTTATTATTCGCTTTTTTTAATTAAAAAATTTTATATTCTTCTCACGCTTCCATTCCACATACTCGTAGTTCATTCGTCTAACTGATCATATTATTTTTTACTTTTATTGCTTACTAGCTTTCCGCCGGCAGCTTTGCCCGCGGGGTCACTAGGAACTATTTCATTGAATAAAATTAATTTGAATAAAAAGCTTATTTAATTCAGACTTAGAATTATCTGTATACCATATATATACTGAAAGTATGAATGTATTTTCGCATTTATATTATTAATAGGGTTTCTGTAATTTATCTCTTGGGACTTAACAATATAATTGAAGTCGTCTTTTATTTATTTATTTTAGGCAGCAAATCCAGTGTCAATGGGTAAAACGAGAGCTAAGCAAATGCAGCTGAAGGAAGGTGACTATTGTAAAGACGGATCGTCACGAATGGGAGACAAAGCATTAAATGTCCAGGTAGGTTCACCCAATTAATATTAGTAGTTGCAGTTAGACACGTAATTTTCAAATGGGCGATTGTAGGGGCAGTAGAAGGTAGCTACTTGAATTTCGAAATACGCCTGCTATCATAGAACTCAGAACACTGATTTGCTCCTCCCCTGGCGCCCATAACTTTGATAGCTCTAGTTTGCCTCACCTTTATTTTTTGAGCCAAGGAAAATGCATCACGCACTCCGGTAGTGTTACAATGACCAGGTTACTGAACGGATAAAAGAGCAAAGTTGTAACGACTTCGATACTTAGGTGATGGTTGATAAATGAAACGGCTGACTAGCTTGATATGGAGGTATATTTCTATGATGTAAATAAAAAACTGTAACAACAAAAAAGAGTATTTCTAAAATTATGATGGTCTGTAACTATGATTTGTATACTCGTCTAATTAGAGTTGCCCTATAATTGTCAAATAAATAACAGGTTAGGTTTGAAATTCTATTGTGCGTGAGTACTGTTGTTATAGGTACACGCATGCATCTTGTTAATAATATTAGCTCGCCGAATATTTGCCACAAAAGTAGGTAAAAAAATATATTTAATTGACCGATCATTTATCGTAACACATTATAATGTGTTTCTATGGGAAATAGTATTTATTTTTAATGGTTTATTAGATCTACAATAAAACAATTTTATCCAAGTATCAATCAATATTAAGACAGATTTCATTAAACTAATGAATGAATGAAAATATTCCTTCATCAAATAAACTTATTGCAAACACTCGAATTGTCCAATATTTTTTTATATATACCTACAAAACCACCCGTTAAGGACGTCTCGTCGACGTCGACTATGCCAGCTCTTAACAGAAGTAAATATATTCATATAGAATATGTCACTACCAAAGTTATTTGTTTGACAATAGAAAAAAAAACTTTTAAACGGTTTCATCCTCTTTGTATTATATGTTATTGCCGTTTCGAACCGTTTACAGGTTCCGTGTTCACATAAGACTAAGATGTTGATTGTCTTTTTAATTAAGAGTATTTATATCATTTACGCATAGTTCAATCAATATATATGTATCTTTTAAATCGTGACTAAACTTAATTTGAAATTCACTCACGCTCTTATGGGAGATTATTAGTTCATCAAAATGGACATACCAATGGTACTTAACATTTTTAATTGATTACATTCTTTGTTTGTAATTCTTGGGCACTTAAAACGCGCAAAGTGTAAACTTTGGCGTAAGCCATATACATTATTTATTGCGGTGTAGGCGCTCTGACACTATATCTAACCAAGTATATAAACAAAGGTTTATAGCTACTTAAATAAAACAATTAGGTACATACCGTACATATTCTGGGTTTTATAATAGATAGAATTCAGTAGATATTTCATGTTCAACATATGCATTTACATGTATCTATGCGTCTGATTTATATGAATAAATTTACATGATAAAAATAATGTTCTCGCCGGATGAATTTTTCACGAACTGACATTCAGAAAGAACACATATCGTGTTATACAAAATTTCAAATAAAAGAAACATACAGTCGAATCGAGAACCTCATCCTTTTTTTAAGTCGTTTAAAAAGAAATCATGTTAAAGGTTCAAGACAAAAAGTTTGGATGCGGGAACCTAGGACAAAATAAAATGGGTACAACGCACCGTTGCAAAGGTCTACCCACTAAAAACTCTGGGTATGCCCTCGATTAAGGAACACCTGCGAACAACCCCAGAACCTGGGTACGCCCATGTTGGCAATCTATCAGCTACCACACAGCCCGTTTAGAAACGCTATTTATTTTTTCTGGGAAGGAAACCTTCTCTGTGGATTTGTACAAACATATGTGCCTGACGAAGTGAACGAAGTAATAAACGCCACGACATAAATGTTATTATGTGTTTGCCTATGTCACCCACCCGCAAAAACTTTAGTTACTGGCGCTTGCAACAGCGCTGAAATATCGGAATCTCAATAAAAACAAGGTACACGGTAGCAATCCCGTAAAAAAACTATCATTCTAATATAACAGTAGAGTTCAAAATCAATTAAGAACATTTAACATATTGTGATAAGCTGACGTGTAGCCGTGTGTATCATAAAATATTTTATTCAGATACATGGAGACGCAGCTTTTACCGGTCAAGGAGTGAACCAGGAGACGTTAATGTTGTCACAGGCACCTCATTTCCACGTCGGTGGATCACTTCACGTCGTTGTCAACAACCAGGTCTGAATATTAAATTACTTATAAACTAACATATTTTTTAAACCTATAAATTAATTTATAATACTTATAGAAATGGAGTACTTAAATAGCCGCTTTCCTAATAGCTTAATTAATATTATAAAACTTGCTTCTTTGAAGACTTTTATCTTAAGTAGCTGAATCAAGTCCCTGTTACATTTAGGCGCTGCGCAAACTTTACACTCTTTCAGTTTTATTAATAAACAAGGTTTAACGTTGGAGTAAATTTACGCTGAGACTGCACTTGTAGTCAAAATTAATATTATTAAACAGAGGCTTAGCAAAGATTAACCTAGTACGAGATTCTACGGGAGCAATATTTATTCCTACAAGGTAGTAGGTTTGGTTATTCTCTGTATATTATAAATTCATATTTAGATTTATACTAAAATTAAAATATTAGCGTTAACTTACTCTGATGCTAATCCTTGTTTATTAATAGCACTGTTTATGTCCAGTTGCTACCACTAATTTTATAACGCTAATTTTTTGCCAGTGAGAAATTTGGAAAGTCAGTAATAAAAATATAAATTAATAATGTAAATATGACTACCGGCAGTGTTCGAAACATTTCTGTCACTCATAACAATAACATCAATATGAATCAAAGAAAATAATTTCGGTTTTTAATTAAGCATAATAATTAAAAAATAAGCAATGAATAGTAACTGTTTATTTTTTGTATTCAGCTAATTTTTACGTAATAATCGCATCTCAATAAAATCTGAACTTGCATTTACCATTGTACTATCTACCTGAAGATCATTATTATTACTGCCATGTCTTCCTCACAAATTAATAGTGACAGATATAATTATTAATTTATGATCTAGTAACGAGAACTATATCATAAAATTAGATGAAGCACTATTGACTTTTCATAATTACGCTAACATTAGGGCGGAAAACAATATGACTCCAATTTCTGTCTCAATCACATTAAGTAGAGTTCAATTAGGTGCGGGGATCGCCCGATATCGCGCGACTAAAATCATCCGATTGGTTGGGATCTTTAAATTGAGAAAGAGGTAGCCTTCTGCTCCGATAAATTAGTGAATATTAGTGACGTTTTCTTCATCAACGACTGTTCCCTGAAAATGAAACTTGTTTACCGTGTCTATAAGAAAAGTGCTTACGTTTGCGAAGCGCCTAAAAAATGTCTGTTTAATGTATTTTAGATGGGTATATTTTTTTAATACGTTTAATATTTAAGCTGATTACGTTTTAAATTTTCTGTGGAACTTGCGTAAAAAAAAGTGAAATCTGTCTAAAAAAAGAAAGTTATTTACTAAATTCAATTATAAAGTCAGGAGAAAAGTGAAATCAACTTTGCCCGGATTTAAATTACTGGGCCTTCCTGTGTTTGATCATGTTAATTAAATTTGTTTTGTGTGGATATCACGTCTTTTGACGAAGGATGAACGTTCAATAAACTTTTCCCTATAATAAAATTGTAACTGCTAGTCGAATGTTTGTTTGTAATAGATCAATGGGGTATTTATTATAAAAGCTTACATAATTATAAAAATATATATTTAAAAAATCGAACAAACCAAAAAGTAATGTATAGTACTATCAAAAGAAAACGACAATAATATAAAAATAATAAAGAAATAATAAGTGACAAAAGTCATAAAAAAACATTAAAAAAATATAAAACGCTTAACTCAAGAGGTTGTTGCCAAACAGGTTTTATCCGACTGGACCTCTATGTTGTTGAACCATTACGTTCCACTGGTTCGACGGTGTATTTGTAATAGAATAGCAAAGCCTCACCTTAACAGAGGCGTCACGCAGTAATCAGAAAAATAATGACAAAGGATATTGTTACTTATAATATACCCGTGATATTATTTATATATATATATATATATATATTTAAGTATTTGTTATTTCTATAGCAATAATTACAATACTAGCGATTTGTATGATAGTTTTATCTATTTTGATACATTAATACTATCAACAATAATGTCAGGATTGGTTAAGTAACAGTTATGACAAGATTATTGATAATGTAACGTATTTTCAAGGCCAGGAGGAGCGGTTTAATATATTTAGAGACGGGATGATTATATGATCGAATAAATGTAACAAACCACATGGTGCGGTCTTAATATAATTCCCCCTTTACTTTCTTATTGCTAATGTAGGAACTCCACAGGTAGGATTCACGTTGCCGGCATTAAGGGGTCGCTCCTGTCGATACGTCACTGATTTGGCCAAGGCAATATCAGTTCCTGTGATCCACGTGAACGGAGACTACCCTGAGGTAGGAACGAAACAAATATTTACTTTGATTGAATTCTCCTTGTACATCGGTAGCGTAGTGTATAAGCGCCTCGGCCCGCGATCGTTATTGTTAAGCAACTTTTTCAATGGTCTGTCACGGGATGGGTGACCAAAAATTATTATCTCGAGCTACTCGGGAAGGTACGTTGAGCAGTTGGTCGCAGTTTGCAGGTATTAATACCCACCTATCCGCACTGAGCCCGCGAGGTGGGTCGTTACCCATTCTCCCTATTTGATTTGATTCGATTCCATCCACAGGGAAGGCTTAAACACCAGAAGCGGGGTCATTAATAGACCGGTAATGATGATGATGACGATGATGGAATTCTTGAGGAACTAATCAATTAGACATACTTTCAACATTTTTTTGTGTTCAATCTCTGATTGCTATTAGAAACGATGTTACATTTGAGTTTTATATATCACATTGTGAGATAAGTGTAGGAAATATTTAAGAAAATCAAGCAACAAAATATCAAAGCTACAATGCATTTCTAGATGGGCCTGTATGCCCATGTTAAGTGGGCATACTCCTATAATATATTTTTACAGTTCTTTTTAGTTAGTATTTCTTTCAAAATTTTAAACAATTTAGAGTATGCCTGAATTAGGTTGAATGATTATTACAAATATATGAATTACATTCAACTCGTCCATCCAAAAAAAGAGGCGGCGTTGCCGCTTTGAATTACCAAATAAATTTTCAGCTTCATCATCAATAATATTTATTCGACAGCTAGTAGCAAAAGCGACGAACATAGCATTCGAATATCAGCGTAAGTTCAGAAAGGATGTGTTCATAGACTACAATTGCTACAGAAGATGGGGCCATAATGAAGTAGACGACCCCACGTTCACTAACCCTTTGCTCTACAAAGTTATACATAATCGAAAGTAAGTATGTTTATCTTAACAAATCGATATTACTCGTCCAAATTAACGTGATAACATTATATTTATTCTATTACTAACTACTACGGAAATTAGTTTGTTTTCAAAATTCTAACGCAACTTCAAGGAAATGCCTATTTCAATATAAGGATGATGCCGAACTATAAAAAAAGGAAATATTTTTTGTCCATCAGTCAGATAATAGAAAAATATTAGATACTTAAAGTAGAAAAAAACGGTGGCTCGCTACGTCACAAATATGTAGAAAATGTAGAAAGGTATGACGACATGCGAGATTCGAAGTCGATGTATTGCCTTCTGTTCTTCAATTATCAATTTTAAAATCGATTTTAAACAAAATTCAAGACCGGAATAGCCTCAATAATTATTGTTTTATCTTGATTTTCTACAAAGACGTAGGTATATGGTACTAAGCACAATTACATAATCCACAAGAGTTCCTTATCGGATTAGTAAACTTGTTCTTAGTTTAGTACGAACAAACCTTTAAGCTCTCGAGAATGTAATTCGCTTTATCAACAACTTATATATAAAACTTAATATTTTTTTTTAATAATGAGCAGATGTCGGAATTAGGTAGAGTTATTTATGTACTTGCATCGAAATGTTGATATTAATGTGGACCTTCCCGGGATTTCTAATGGACAATCTTGGACATCTTTGGACACCCGATGTCATTGATGTAAGTTTGGCAACGTCGTGCGTGCAGTAATTTAAATTGTGTAAAAGTAAATAACTTTTTATTTAACTTTTTATTTAAAAAATCACGGGATTTTTTCTGCTCTTTAAAATTAATCTCGGAATTTGAAGCATATCCACTTTATTCTTTCGCTGTATGAAATCAGTGTAAGTACATGAATAACTCTACCTAATTCCGATCACTGATAATGAGTTAGAATAAATATGAAAACGGGATAAGTAAACATTCATAAAACTTTACTAAATACAATAAATTTTTAATTAATTAATGTGAGAGCAAATCAGTTTGGAATTTTCGTTATCGCCTCAATTTTTTTGTATAGAATGTCGACTTCAACCAGGGTTGCCACCTTTTCGAAAATTCGGGACATTCGGTCGTTCATCAGAAATAATTGAACTTCAATTCAATATTTATTTATCATCAAACGTGTACGGGAACAATTTAAAAACTATTTTTAATTGTGGTATTAAATAGACGTAATTACTATTAAACATAGGTGATCATGTCTAGCCTTTAAACTTGAAAATAAAACATATATTTTTAGTTAATATTAATATTTTTTGTCGAGTTTTATCAAAAATCGTGACGCGGGACAACGTTATTTAATTCAATTCTGTCCCGAAAAATTCGTATGGGTAGCAACCCTGACTTTAACAGTAGATCCGGGGATATGCAACGTTAAAATTGAAGGATGAAAATTGGCTGAATTCATTGGGTTAACATAGAAACCGATTAACTACAAGGTTAACCAATATTCATGATTAATCAAAGTGTCATATTTATACCAGATTCATAAAAAAAATATTCTCACTTTTGTCTGTTACCATTGGTCTCGTCTGCAGTCGTTAACATTCATCATCTGCATCTGCAATGGGCCCAAGTCACTACTTGTCACTACTTGGGCCCATTGTAGATTGATGAATGTTATCATGCCTAACGTGACCATTCGTCCCGTTTCTCGATTGACCCCGAAGATAAAACCGGGACGCAAAATTTACTCGTTTACCGAAACGCTGGTGTCTAGCAAAGCGAGAAAGTCTATGCGAGATTTATTTATTGTTCTTCCAATGATGAATTCATTAAAATGTCTTAAAGAATCAATAGCACCAAATTCTAGCCGTTTGGATATCGCGGAGATTGAAGGTGTTTTTCGCACCAATCAAGAAATCATAAGCTAACATGACTTTAACTCCTTCCTCCTTCCCACCGATTTCGTGAAAAAAATAATATTTCGTTTAAAGGCAAAAAAAAATGTTTACGTAAATCATGCCTCATTGTCCCTTTTCGTCGATTCCATCTATAAGCAAAGCCTGTGCCCCATGGGGAAATTAATGTACTGATGCTATAAGATTACTCACTTATTTTTATTAGGTCGATCCCAGACTTGTACGCGGAACGGCTAGTGTCAGAAGGAGTCGTGACATCAGAAGAAATAACCAACATCACGAAGGATTACACAAACTATTTGCAAAAGGAGTATGATACTGTGGTTTCATACAAACCCGAGGTTATTATTTAATCTCAATAATTTATTATTATTTGCGTTTTATATCAAGTTTACTATTTTCTTAAAACATGAAATAGAATTGTAGGATGGTCGGCTATCGATAGTAATTGATATTTTCAATAAATATTGTAGAGAAATTATATAAATGTAATTGCAAACGTTGTTCGAACCCGTAATCCGACAGGTAATATTTGTAGTCGAACAAAGCATGCACTTCTATACGTGTTCGACGCTGTATTTGTAATAAAATAACAAAGTCTCACCTTAACAGAAACCTCACGCAGTAATCAGAAAAATAATAAAAATTTATATTGTTACTTATAATATGCCCGTGATATTATTTAAAAGTTAAAAGTGTAAAAGTTTCGCTTACTTTTATTTATTTTTAAGAATTTGTCATTTCGAGAGCAATAATTACAATACTATTAATTTGTATAATAGTTTTATCTATTTTGATATATACTATCAACAATAATGTCAGGATTGGTTAAGTGATAGTTATGATAAGACTATTGATAATGTAACGGATCGTAAAAATTAATAATTATGAATCAAAATATAAAATACGTACACACATTTGTACATAAATGTACATTTGAATTTTATTTTAAAGTCATTTGATATAGATAGGATGAAATTTATATATCTTTTTATATTTTTATTAAAAAAATCTTGTTTTTTTAACCATTTCTAAATGTAAATTTGGAAATGTCAGAATTAAAAATGTTGTTTTAAAATATTAACGTACTTATTTGCTATTTGTCTAGATATCATATTTCCAAGAACAATGGTCATCAATGAGATTAGCACCGAGGGCAGTAGAAACATGGGACACCGGTGTTGAGACCAATCTATTAAAACTTGTTGGACAAGCGTCTGTTCAAACGCCCAAAAATTTCGTAAGTTGAAAAACGCTACAATTTTATGTAATCCATGCTAATACAACATTTCAAACAAGGCTTGCAAACAGAAAGATTGTTAACTGGGTTATTCGGAAATTCTGGCTCGAAGTGAAATCATTTAAAGGATTAATCTGATTAGTTCCAAGTGAAAATTGGGGCGGAGCTTTGTACGCCATTTCTTTCGAGATCATTCATCATCAAAATAGGTGACGTGGTTTATATAACCATATGTTACTAATTAAATCTTGTTTCAGAATATACACAGTCATCTAGCTAAAACACATATAAAAAATAGATTAAATAAAATTTCCGCAGAGAAAGATATCGATTGGGCTACAGCTGAAGCCTTTGCTTTTGGTAAGTCGAATCTCTAACTTTCACCTCCTTACAAACTTCATCCTCAATGTCGAGGGTCGTGATCTCACTGTATTACTCTATTGTTTGCCACCTTGCCCTATCTTCGGCGATATGGATGACCTCACTGCTGTGGTGTTGAGTGTAGTACGGATTTGATCTGACCAACGTAGAGGACTTCTTCCCGTCAATACAACTTTCCGAGATTATCGCCTCTCTTTCTAGCAATATGTCCAAAGAATTAAAACTCCATAGACAATTGGTGGACTTTTTAGTAACTTCCGAAGTGTATAAATATAAATGACTAAGCCTTTCCCTTAAATAAGATTTGCGAAACCATCCAAATACCATAAATCTGTATAAATTTGCCATAAATATAAACTCTTATTATTTAAAAAAATATTCAATACTAAAAATGTTGTTTTAAATTTGTTTATCACATCACGAGTTATTTAAAACTGTCCTCCAAATTATTTTAAAATATGACTTGTTAAAGTTTCAGTTTAAATCGACAAGGAAAGTTTGATATTTTGTTGTTTTTGAAAACTTTCGGTCTAGTTTAGAACAATTTTTTGGGTGGCAATCTAAAATTAAACATATTTGAAGCCATGACGGCTTATTTGTAAAATTACAATGCTAACCTTGTCGATGAAGAATTAAATCAGCTAGATGTACAAATACATATCAGTATCGGTATTTCCAGGTTCTCTTCTGATGGAAGGCCGACATGTAAGACTCAGTGGAGAGGATGTAGGCAGAGGAACATTCTCCCATCGTCATGTAATGCTAGTAGACCAAGAAACTGAGGAAATATATGTGCCACTCAATAATATACATGAAGATCAGAAAGGCTTCTTAGAGGTAAGGTATTGCGTAAAAAAACAATATCGATAATTTCACATTCGAAATTCTTATTTTCATCAGTAGATATGTTTATGTAAAACCTTCAATAATATCACTGAATCTACATTTGCTTTGCTTAATTATATTTACCATATAAATATAGACAGTGTCAATGATTTTGTTTGTTAACTTTTGTTTATGTGATTTTGTCAGCCTCAATTGGCCGAGTGTTTGTTTGGCTGTTTAGGTAGATTGCCAGAAGCTTGGTAATAATACACTAATATATAAATACACTGATTAGCAGCAAAAATAAAAAATGCCTGCTTGCTTGGTAGTCTTGAGGAGTTTAATACGTCACCCGAGGCCTTAATTTCTAATTTAAAATCTATCGCAATTGACATTTGAAAAATATTCACGAACTTTAGGCTGCAACTATTTGATATGTGATAGCATTGAATGAAAAACATCATTAATTTGACGTTAATTGGAATTGTCTCAGGCATGTGTTAAACGCAATTATTACTTTAGATTTGTCACTAAGCTTTTATTGTTTCTTGATCATTTAAATCATCAATTGTTCTGAAAGCAATTGCGTCTTTAATCGTTACATAATTCCATAAATCGGTATCATAATCGCCATACTTTTGAAAGTAATTGAAATTAGACAATTAGCTCCCCGTATTTCTAAAGGTTACGGGTTCGAACCTGTCTTGGGCACCTGACACCCAAATTTTTAGAGAATGTTGCTAAAAGTGTTGATATATAAATTCAAGAACACTACTGACAGATGTAACGATAAAAACAAATATTATTACATTGATGAATAAAAATTTATCCACTGTAATGTTTCAGGTAGCAAATTCTATATTATCAGAGGAAGCGGTACTTGGATTCGAATACGGTATGGCATATGATACACCAGACCACCTGTTTCTATGGGAAGCACAGTTTGGAGATTTTTATAATGGAGCACAAATCATGGTTGACACCTTTATCGCTTCTGGTGAAGGTAAGAATTTAAAATACTTTAGATCATAATAACCCCATTGGAATGAAGATGATAATACTAATATTACTAATTTATAGATGATAATAAAATATTACTTTGAAGATGAAAATGACCCCAACCTATGAATCATCGTTGCTTAAGCTAAAGATAAGAATACTTAATATCTTATTTAAGTGCTGATTATACTTTCGCCATTATTTAATAAAACCGAAACCAAGATCTTTCACTCTACCGATTACCTACATTCTACTTTTATTACCTGTCACACCAAATGTCAGGACTTCATTTCGATATTTGAAGCTCAGTTATCGACATTAATTAATGAATTATGAATGAATTACCAAATGAAGTATGAATACCGGAAACCAAACGAACTGCAAATATCAAAGCCCTGTAACTAGGTAAATGAAATACGATACACGAGTACGAGTAAAAAAATTATTTCTGGATATTAAAATAAATGATAACAAATTTCCATAAAATGTTTTCAGCTAAATGGGCTCGCAGCAATGGCCTGGTGATGCTTCTACCGCACGGATATGACGGAGCTGGTCCAGAACATAGCTCCTGCAGGATAGAGAGGTTTCTACAACTAACTGACAGCTCAGAGACAAGTCCAGACTCTGAATCAGTGTGCTTACACGTCGTGAATCCAACAACACCCGCACAGTATTTCCACTTACTAAGAAGACAGGTATTTAAAGCAGGTCTGAACATTTATTTAGAAAATAATATGAAAATTTGCAGCCCTTGCCGAATTTCTTGCCGTTTATTTCGGTACAAGCTCACCCGCCCTAGATTTACACCCAACGAGTAACTGCCTTTAATTCAAATTAAACTGAAGTTCTCATTGATCTGTTAAACTGACAGATGCCAGAAGAGCGTCAGTATGAAATTCAAGACTGTACCCTTTCGCTTTTCTCAGTCAGCAAAAGGGTACAGTCCTGATTAATTTGAGGTCAAATTACTTAACAAGGCAATTCTGCAATATGTCATGAAGCACACAATTGTAGCAATATTTAAGAGCTAATCTCGCCAAATTCCGAATGAAATATTTTTTTATCTTAATTTGTACAGGTGGCAAGAAACTACAGAAAACCTTTAGTAGTGGCATCAGCAAAAGTTTTGTTGCGGATGGCTGAAGCTGTCTCATCGCTAGCTGACTTTGCACCTGGAACACATTTCCATCCCGTCATAGGTAACGCTAGACTACTCATAATATTTAAATATGCCATTAAAAATCATAACAACAATGTTTCAATACGCATTTAATGAGATTTACTGAGAAATCCGTTACCGTCATTTATTTGCCTAACACAATGTTACCAATTTTGAGTCTTCACAAGTGACAAGACCTACAATTTTTTCCATACTTAATAGTCAATTTTTATTGTATAGAAACATTATACACTTCTGGATCTGACGGTAACACCCACCAAGTCTCGGTTAAGGATAAGTAGAGAGCTGTAGGCCTCTAAATATCATGCTTGCCCACAGCATACGAGGAAGAAGAAGAAATTTCGGTTTCCCTCAATCAACAATGTAATTCTCAATGCTATAACATTACATTGTGGGGATGGATTATTACCTACATTGATCCAAACGCCTCTCTCATTATTTTATTGCTCGAAACTGTAACATTACTTCCTTTTTTTATACCTCTTTTTACAATCATCTATGTTTTGAATTTTTTTATATATTTTTTTTTGTTTTGTTTTTGAGGTTATTTAATTGATTAGATATTGACATTTTGTATTATCTAGGAGACCTGCTTTTGACTAGGACCTGTCTTTGTAGACATTTAGAAGCTTTGCGAAGATACCTTTCAGTTTTATTTTCGCACATGTCCTCACACCACCCCCGTGGCCCGTCGTCATTAACAACACGGAAATACTCTAACTGATGGGACACCTGAAATTTCTGTCACTTTGACTTATCTAGTTTTGATTAATAAAGAAGCCAACCTTATATTTATAGGGGTCACATGGCAACACTAATGACTACCTACTCCAACACTTAATCAAAGTTTACATTTAACTGATTTCGTCTTATCTTAATGTTTGGTATTAAATAATTAATTGAAATTGCGCCCATGTCGCCTATTCGAAACATTAATTATTATTACAGGGATTGATAAGGTCGAAGATAGACTTTGAAGCGATGGTTTATTAACAAAGGCAATGTTATTACACCCGAAAGTACGTGTCAGTTTCGAATCGCTTGTTGTTTGTACAAAACTGTCCGACGTCAACAAAACAACAGAACAACGTCAACATTTATGAATTATTAATAACATTAGTTGATAGTAACTGGATATGTTAAATATGCAACTCTGTATACATATATGTATGGTCTATCTATCTTTCAATAAATAAAATATAACATTGAATAAGTATATTTGTTTACGATCAAAATAGAGACGTATGGTCACGGATTACAAGGAATAAAAAGTGCTAACCATTACGAATACCTGGGTAGGTATACTAGAATCGTTAGCTCTTGTAAATTTTCAGCGCACAATTAGTTTGTCTAATTATGAGAATAATTTAAATAAAATAAATTTATTGAGATATCTTTTAAAAAGTCACGTTATTGCCACTTTAATTTTCTATTTATTTTTAACATTGTTTTATTCTTACTTTATATGTCAATTTCAAATTATTTAATAATTTTCTATAGTTTTTGAAACGACGTGAGAAAAGCTGTCGTATTTTAAGGGTGTTTAATTTTACGGGTATTAAGATGTATTTAAATCAAATTTCAATTGCGACTACACTGATATCCGGTTTCGGAAATTTAAACTTTAGCTTCGATTTTTATCGATAAATAGGTACATTAATATTTCGGAGAAGATTTTTATTTCCCCGAAATATTAATGTTATTTGCTTATTATGTAATAAAGAATAATTTAAAACTATTTTTCAAAATTACTCTTAAACCCTATTCCGAGATAAAAGAGTTTTCGCAATATATAATGCTACATTAAATGCAATTTATATCATAACTGATATCTTGCAACTTCTACTAATGGTCAGTATCTGCAAGACTACGCGTGTTTTGCCCCTCCACGGAGTATCATCCTTTTTTAAATATTCTTGCTCGTTTTTTTTTAAAATATTCAAGTGCCTACATCTATGTTTCTTAATTACAGGTGACAACAAAGCAGATCCTCTGAAAGTGCGTAGAATGATCTTCGTGAGCGGGAAGCACTATTACGAGCTGCACAAAGAGAGAGTAAGAGGGAAAATCGATGACGTCGCCATTATCAGACTGGAGGCTCTCAGTCCGTTCCCCTTGCACGGATTGCAGGTGGAACTTGCTAAATATCCCAATGCTAAAAGTAAGTATGACTCGTTACCACGATACGTAAAAGGAACAAACAGTAACTCGACTCCATATAAACGGACGAATCGGCGCACGCACACATTCAAACGTCGTTTACGCGGCCGCCAAACATTCTCTGCCTTGCAATTCTGTAAAAATCCGAATCCTAATTCAAATTCACTCAGGTGTCCGAATTAACCTCAAAAACTTTTATTAGTGAAGAAATTCTATTGATTCCATTTTTTGTATAATAATAAAAAAACAAAATTTATTGATTCATACGTGTCTCAGATATTCTATGTCACTTTTGCCAGACACTACACAATTCGGACACCTGTGAATTCGAATTCTGGTTCGGATTTTTACAGAATCGTTCTGCTGACCGACATATAACGCCACGCGCTGGCTGATAAGTACTCAGTTCTCTTTGTCATGTCTTCAGGATTTCATTGAATTATGTTTTATATTCTTACCACTAAAACTACACAATAATAATAATCCCGTACCTAAACTAAGTAAGTAGTATTTTAACTTTATGTAGATACCAATCCAGGCGCTCTATTCAGCTGTAGATATAAAGTGCATAATATTTGACTAGCTGTTTTCCCGCGAATTTGCCTGCGTAAATTAAAGCCTATGTCACTCACGTATGATGCAGCTGCACATAGATGAAAGAATTATTTATTACAATCGTTCTAGTAGTTGCAGGCCCTATTCAATGTAAAAACAGACAATTAAATCTTTCCTCTTTAGAATATTAGTAAAACCGAGAGAAACCTCAAAATAGTTAACAACCAACGACATTACTTATTTGCATATAATAACTATTAAATATGAGCTAAATCAATCATTTTGACGCGCACTCACACTCATATTAGATCAGCATACAACTATATTTAAGCATTCGAAATTTTAGTTAGGCATTATCCTATCCTTAGTGGATAGTGCGCATTTTCACTAGATTTAAGAGTCAGCCATAGCTGTCGCTTTAATATTTAGGAATGGCCTAACCATCACCATTGTCTAGGAACCACCTAACGAAATTAAGCCATGTCTAAAGTAATGATATATGTTATGCGGCGCTTTGCGCTAGGCATTTGCTTATATGACAGGTCATAACTATGTCAAGGGATAGCAGAAAAGAATATTTATTTGGAATTAAACTAGCTTAGGCGATTCCTAAGTTTAAGCTTTTCGTTGTTAAGCTAATCCTTGTTCTAGGGTAGTGAAAACGGAGGTGAATCACTATTTCAACTGTTAAACCCTACCGAACTGTCACTAACACTCAACAACTTCGCACATAGTGGATCAAAAACTTTTCTTGTTTACTTCGCCTGCCGAAAATTTCAAGCACCTGTTAACAGGCAATTTCGTCAAAACAATCATGGCAACATATAAAGCCAAATTAATTGAAAATGACGCTTATACTGCTTGTATCAAGAGTTACTAACGAATACTGATTTATTTATTTATTTATTTACTGATGATTATATTTTATCAATTTTACATTCACAATGCTATACTGGAAAATATTCTTAACAAAAATGGTTAAAAATCCACTTTGTTCGTGTTTTTAATCATTTTTCATTAAGAATCTATCTATATATTAATACGTGAAGCAAAAACTTTGGACCCCATTTTACGAAAATTGCGAGGACGGAGGAGTATAAAATTTGGCACACTTATAGTTTATATGCAGGAGGAGTTTCAATAATAGAATAGAATAGAATAATTCTTTATCGTACAAAAACACCAATTATAGGTAACAATAATATAAAACAAATAGTAAAATCGGCGGCCTTATCGCTAAGAAGCAATTTCTTCCAGGCAACCGTTACCGTTTGGTATAAAGTATATTAAATCGATAAATAAAACATTATACATACTACTATAAATTTGACACACACAAACAAGTATTTGCTACACACATACATGCACTCTGTGGTCAAATTGTTCAAACAATCATATTTTTCCTCCTTATAATATTAGTATAGAAAATTCTTGTAAAATAATAATTTCACTCGCCTCTATATATATTTATATATTACCTTAAATCACGCTAGCCATTTTGGTATAAAAAAGGTTATATTATTATTAACTCACCTGAAACCTTGTCACATTCTACCTTTCAGTATCTTGACCAGTCAGACACTGGACAGCACCTTATCTGGTCAAGGGTCCGCTACTTTTAAATCACAAAATATAGGACCATTCTTAATTATTTTGTGCAACCAATTTTTATCGATAGTTTCATTGACGATTCCTACCCGATTCTCGTTTCTATATAAAGCAAGCATCAGGATTTTTTTAATACAGCTACTATAAACTAGTAAATATTCGTTTTTTTTTTCTTTTTCAAGTCCCCATAATGACTGTTGAAAGTTCCTTTAGCAACTAAACTGTTAACAAGCAGGAAATGATCCGAAACTGTTCGCATACTTTTTCTTTTGTAATTGTCTACGTCGTGAAACAAAGTGAGAAACACACCCTTTTTTGAATTTCTTGTCCATTCTTCTCAGTGCGAATTTTCTTTAAACTGTACTTTTACTCACTTACAACCTTTTACTTAACTTTAAATTAGTTACTAAAATAACTGAGCCGTGCAAATCAAATCTCCAAGATATCCGATTAACTAAAATTTGAAATAAGTACATCTTATGTTGTGATAACAACACTATTAATATCGATTTCACAAATTCAACACACCAATAACACACAATTTGCTATTAAAATGGTAATAATTTACAGCCTTCATATGGAGTCAAGAAGAACATAGAAACATGGGAGCGTGGACGTTTGTGAGACCACGATTTGAAAACCTCTTAGGAAAGAAAGTAAGTACGGTCAGAGCCGGATTAGCCACGTGGCAAAAGTAGCAAATGCTACGGACCCCGCGTGTTTGGTGGCCCCGCGCAATTAGGAGGCTCACTACGGTTCAGAGCGCTTAGTGTAAGTTTTTTTGACGTTCACTGTCGATCATGATCGCGTTAAGATTTTAGTATGGAATCCGGTACAGCGCCCCTAGCTGTCACTATCAAGAACTACAAATCTCCGTACAAATTCTTATAGCATAAAACTTACACTTACCTACCATTCTGAGCGAATTATTTAATTTTTCAAGTCAGTGTTAAATAATGCAAGAAATAAAATAAGCAACTGACTCCTGACTAGTCATATTTTTCAGTTCGAACACAAACTGATAAATAAAACTCAAGTCACAGATTAGTTGTGTCATGTTATTCGGAAAGCATAGGATGACTTTCTGTTACGGGGGGAGAGAAGAGGATTTGCGGTCCCCGCTCTAGCTTAATTCGGCACTGCATAGTCATACAAACATAAATTCTTTCTGTCATTCTTTAAGATAAATAAATGCTGCTATAATATGACATCTTATGCTTAAATGATATTATATAATCTAAGATCTTAAGATAAAATAACGTTCGCCATACATTCCATTGGTTAGGCCATTGTTTATATTCATCTTAAGATATTTTAAAATAAAATATTTTAACATCTTAATCTATCACACACAGCTAAGATAATATAATATTTTCATATTAAGTATCTTAAAATCTATAGCGTAGGTTAAGATGGTATCGTAAGATATTTTATATTATCGTATCTTGACTACTTGTGATAGATTAAGATGTTAAAACATTTTATTTTAAAACATTTTAAGATGAGATATTATAGCATCTTAACCGTCTGTTATGTATGAGCTTAACATCGCTAAGAAGATAAGATATTCCGGCGGTCACATCTGTAGAAAAAAAAATACAATTAATTTTGAAAAATTAAAATATAAATAATTTCTGCAGTTAAAATACGCCGGTCGTCCTGAATCAGCCAGTCCTGCTGTCGGCGCGGGAATATTGCACAGAGCTGAAGTGGAACACGTTATTAAAGAACCCCTGTATAATATCAAATGATCTCAATAATAAATAATTTCTATAAATTAACCACCTGTAAATTATGCATTTTAGATGATAATGTACCTAAGAGATGTATGTAGCAATATATATACAATTTATTTTTAAATTAAAAAGTTTGTTTTATTTATAAATAGCTGTTACTAATAGCTTCGCTTGAGTAAAAGACTATGTCGTATGATGTAGCAGCCCTGCGATTATGTAAAAATTCAGACCCTATTTCGAATTCACTCATATATCCGCAATCACGTCATGCAGTCTAAAAATTCTATTGATTCCATTTCTTGTATAAAAATACAAAACAAAATTGTTTGATTATACGTGTCTCAGATATTCTATTCCTATGTCATTTCGAAACTCACTTCACTTATGCCACGAAACGATATTACCAATTCAAGGTTGAGCGGATGCCGCTTTTTGAAATGAATTAGGACACCTGAGTTAATTCATATTTGGGTTTAGATTTTTAGGCATGGCAGACTAGTATTTCCGGAGATTACTAATTAATGTTTATGGTAAAATAGAGAAATTTGATGAATAAATTAGGTGTAAAACGCACGCGGTATAGGTACCTACAGCATACGCTTCGAGTTGAGTAATAAATAGCTCATTTACTATGGTTAGCAGCAGACCAACCATTAAAAACAAGGAACAGGGGGCCAATTCTACTAAATAAATTTTGTTTGAATCGAATCGAAATCGAACGAAACTACAGTTTTTAATGGTTTTTCCATTCTACTAAGTGACATACGATACGATTCCAGTTAAAATAGAACTGGAATTGTATCGTATGTCACTTTTCGATTCGATTCAAACAAAATTTATTTAGTAGAATTGACCCCCAGAACCACGCCGCATGCTAACCGCATGTTGTAAACCGCAAAGTTTCAAACTTGTGATTAATCGCAATGCGGTCTTAGCTATTCATTTAGCGCTCACATGGACACAGACCTTTTCCTATGGATAGAATCAATCAAACCGTGCCATAACTCAGTCAGCACCTGGAAACAATGGCTTAAAGTGAATCCCGAAGCACGGATAAGCTCAAATTAGTTAGCTAATATATTTGATCACCCATCCGATTTCACGCTTCTGCGACGTTGTCTAACATATGCAAGATCGGCAGTACTAGTATGTTTAAAATTTTGCGTCGGGCACAGCATCAAATAAAAGCAAGTTGAATCAAATAAAATCTACTTTCTAATAGTTTCAAAGTATTTATTGGATTGAGCCGTGTGACCAAAGCAATCACCACTATCGAGAAACTATTAAATAATACATTTTACAGTTGTTATTAAAAAATAAAAATGTTTGTATCCAAGTCAACTGTTGCCATTTTGATTGAACTAAATGTAGTTATCGATTAAACAAAAACTGATCACGAGACAACGATATTCTAGTTGTCTTAAACCAAAATAATAACCATAAATGGCTGGAAAAGGGAAAAAGAAGGAGAAAAAAGATAAAGAAGAAGGTGGTGAGGAGAAAAAGGCGAAAAAGGGGGGAGGAAGAGGCAAGAAAGGTAAATCCAAAGGTCGATGCAACGCCGACATGTTGACAGACGCCGCTATGAATAACGTATACTATGGCTGCCATAATGTACAAGAACTACTCCAAGCAAGAGGATTCCATCCACCAGATTTTAATAAAAAGAAAAAGAAAGGAAAGCGTTGAGAGAATTAATTTGAGTATTTTCTATTTGAAAGTCATTAATTATGTTACTTAATATTTTGTATTTGACTAATATCTATGTTTTAATACGTTTAATTTATAATAATAATCGCAAATTTTATTTTATTGTATTCGGAAATAACACATATGTACGTAATAAAGGCATCATAGTTTATTTTTAAAGTATTTATTGGACGAATAATAAATAATGAATATAACTAGATGTTTTTATTATCATTTTTATAATAACTAATTAATTTAAATGAAAGTAACAAGTTCACAATTTATTAAGAAAAATATTCTGCTTTAAAAACTTTTTACACGCGACAATGAAAATATATTAAAGGTTTCAACGTCACTTTCATCATAGAGAAATTTTATTCTGTCAATCTTAATGTCATTCAAATTTTCAGTGAAGTTATCTAATAAATATGATTTAATTAAAAGAGCGTGAAAATTATGACTATCCGGAAATCGTAAGGTAAGTAACTTTCTCTTAAAGGCGTTGTGAGTAATTGTTAAAATTACTAAAAAGTAAATGCCAATTTGAATAAATTATAGAAATAGAAAGCACTTTTTATAAATATTTTCCATACATATTATGTAGCCTTTCATACTCACATTTGGTTTATTGCGAAAGTATCCTTGGGGGCCAATTCTACTAAATAAATTGTGTTTAAATTTCAGTTCTATTTTAGCTGGAATTGTATCGTATGTCACTTAGTAGAATAGAAAATCCATTAAAAATTGTAGTTTCGTTCGGTTTCGATCCGTTTTCGATTCGATTTAAACACAATTTATTTAGAAGAATTGGCTCCCTTGTCTGTTTTTATAATCAAACCGCTGCATGGACTGGTAAAAATTTGATAAAGTATAGTAATATATATTTAAGTATTTTTCTTTTAAAAAATGCTTATGGCTTATGTTAAGTATCACAGACAGACAAGTAAATGTTAAAAATTTGCACATATCATTAACTTATACTTAGTACTCCGTAAAGAAATTATGAAGTTACCAAAAATATTATAAGACCTATATATTCCGTAAAGATTCACCGGTAGTAACCCCATCACAAAAGCCAAGATGGTTGTCCCAGCGGTGGGCATCGACCTGGGCACCACCTACTCCTGTGTGGGGGTGTTCGAGCACAGCAAGGTAGAGATCATCGCGAACGACCAAGGCAACAGAACCACACCTTCCTACGTCGCTTTTACTGACACTGAAAGGCTTATTGGGGATGCTGCAAAAAACCAGGTCAACGACACATTTAACTATGTTTTTTTTTTATTCTGCTTTACTAAAATGTGCATAATCTTTAAAAGTTAGTGCAATAAAAGAAAAGTTTAATTTCAAAGTTCAAGAAAAATTTTACAATAAGTATTATCTAAAAAAAACGCATAAACATTTGAACCTACTCGAAACAGTTTTAATAGTGATTTCATACGATTGTTTAAGAATTAGGTAGAATGCAACATGATTGGTTTCACTTCCATTGCGTAGCAGTCGAATAACATTAAACGTTACGCACGCCGGTTTCAAAGTGTCGTCATCTCTGAGGTCCCGGGCTCGATTCCTAGTCGGGTCAATGTAGAAAATGCACTTTTCTCTATTGTCTCGGGTCTGGATGTTGTGGTACCTTCGTAGTCTCATATACTCCATAATACGGGGGTTTCAGCTACTTATTTTGGAATCTGAGCAATGTATGTGATGTTGTTTAATATTCATTATTATTATTTCTTTGCCACGACCCTTTTCTCAACATAGACAGTGGCACAAGAAGCGTTGTCTGAAGTTAAAATAGCTTTTTAACTACTCACATGAAGCCAAACGGGATATTTAAAATATCCCGTTAAACGATTACGACATGGTTTTATGAATGACGTTACTTCCATTAGAGCTGCTGAGTTTCTTGCTCGTTTTTCGTGTCAGCCAAAAGACGTCGTGAACGAGTGGTAGCGAAAAAATGTTGGACAATTCAAAAGTACTTTTAAGAAATCTATTTGAATAAAGATTATTTTGACATTGATATGCTAATAGTAGGTATATATACCTATTAAAAACTGTATAAACTTAATTAGCCAAGTTCTCGCTAAAAATAGCCATCACTCAGAAGTTTTGACAACAAGATCTACGATCAACCTACTTTGATGTAAGTTACGCACATAAGTGAACACAGTTTATTCGACGGAGAAGTTGGTCCCTAAACAAACTACATTTTCGACCTAAGCTTATCTTTGAAGTTTGAACAAATTATTAGTAAACCTTCTGTAATTAAATTTTAAAGCGCCTACATAAACTTAGCTAATATGAATTTAAAAACATGTGATCAGTACTAACATTATGATAGAAATAACTACTTTAATATGATATAACATTTTTTTTAGGCTGCGATGAATCCTAGAAATACAGTTTTTGATGCGAAACGTCTCATTGGTCGAAAATTTGATGACCCAAAAATTCAACAGGACCTGAGACAATGGCCCTTCGAAGTGATTTCTGATGGCGGAAAGCCTAAAATCGTTGTTGAATACAAAAAACAAAAAAGGCAGTTTTCTCCTGAGGAAATTTCGTCAATGGTCTTAACTAAAATGAAGGAGACTGCAGAAACATACCTAGGTGGAACAGTGAAAGATGTGGTTATAACCGTTCCAGCGTATTTCAATGACTCACAAAGACAAGCAACTAAGGATGCTGGAACTATTGCAGCTTTAAATGTTCTTAGGATTATCAATGAACCTACAGCAGCTGCGTTGGCATACGGCCTAGACAAGAACTTGAAGGGGGAGAAGAATATTCTTATTTTTGACCTTGGAGGAGGTACGTTTGACGTATCGATTCTTCAAATAGCCGAAGGATCTTTATTTGAAGTAAAATCAACAGCTGGTGACACTCATCTAGGGGGAGAAGATTTTGATAGCAGGATGGTAAGTCATTTTTGTCAGGAATTTGAGAAAAAATATAAGAAGAATATTAAAGATAATCCCAAGGCTTTGAGACGTCTCCGCACAGCATGTGAAAGAGCCAAACGAACTCTGTCATCGAGCACCGAAGCAAGCATTGAAATAGATGCATTACACGACGGCATTGATTTTTACTCTAAAATTACAAGAGCTAGATTCGAAGAATTGTGTTCCGATTTGTTCAGACAAACTATAAGTCCAGTTGAAAGAGCTTTAAAAGATGCAGGATTAAACACACGAGAGATTCATGATGTTGTCATGGTGGGAGGCTCAACGCGTATTCCTAAAGTACAAAGACTTCTGCAGGTATCGTAATGTTTAAACTAAATTTCTGGTCTTGAAGATTCTTACAAATCATTAACACGTACATGTTTTTAGGAATTTTTCAGTGGAAAAACGCTCAATCTCTCGATAAACCCAGATGAGGCAGTAGCTTATGGAGCCGCAGTTCAAGCAGCGATCCTGACTGGTTCAAAAGACACTCGTATTCAGGACGTATTACTCGTGGACGTTACCCCATTGTCCCTCGGTATAGAAACGGCCGGTGGAGTAATGACACGATTAGTGGAAAGAAACTCAAGAATACCAACAGAACAAAAGCAGATTTTTAGTACCTACTCCGACAATCAACCAGCGGTAACTATTCAGGTACACACTATTCTTTATTTTCATTAAAAACTCTCCTGCTGTAACAAGTACTTACTTACAGCCCTAAAACTCTCCAAGCTTTTTAAACTATTCAAATAAATTATGAATAAAAGATCGCATATTTTCAGATTTATGAAGGCGAAAGAGCAATGACTAAAGATAACAATCTTTTGGGCACCTTCAATTTAACTGGCATACCACCAGCTCCTAGAGGCGTGCCACAAATTGAGGTGATAACAGTTTTCCTTTGATCTATCCTCTACGTATTATATTAATTTCCAACGAACTGTCTCCGTGATCAATGACCTGGTATGGACGAAGTTACGAACTAATGAGATATCACAAAATATTAAAGAAGTTTCATTTTATAATTAGGTAACGTTTGACATCGATGCAAATGGGATATTAAATGTAAGTGCCCACGACAAAAGCACAGGGCGCTCTGAACAGATCACTATTTCAAACGACAAAGGGCGTCTCAGCAAGAAGGATATCGAGAAGATGCTCCAAGATGCTGAAAAATTTAAAGCAGAAGACGAAGTTGCCAGAAAAAGGGTTGAAGTCAGAAATCAATTAGAAGGATATATTTTTGGATGTAAAACAGTAAGTTTCTTGTTAATAAAGAGTAGGAAAAAATAAACTAAAATTATCTGCCGCTTACAAAACAAACAATCTCTATCCAAACCTTGTTTGATTCTTACAACATAAATCGATCATTATTCTGAATACTGAAAAGTGTTTCCTTTTATAGGCAGTAGAAAACTCAAGCAGTCGTTTGACGAATGACGAAAGGAATGCGGTATTGTCTGAATGTAATGAACAGCTACGCTGGCTTGAAGCTAACCCTGATGCCTCTAAAGCAGAGCTTGAACGGCGGTTGCAAAATGCCCAGAAAATCTGCCAACCAGCCATGATGAAGTTACACGGAGCAGTGGGAGGTGGAGGTCCTAGTTGTGCCAGGCCTTTGAGCTCTGAAGGGCCTAGAGTTGAAGAAATAGACTGAACGATTGACTAATAATTTGGTTCCCATAAATGGAGCTAAATACCGAAGCTTTGTTATTAGGTATAGAATTGTAGGGACAATACAAGGAGACTTGGGCAGGAGGGAAACGTTGTCCAAGACGCATAAATCCGTTAAAAATCTGCATTCTCAGATTTTCTATCAAATCATTACTTACACTATATTCTATATTCAGATAGGTATGTCTAATCTGAATGCATTGGAGCTGATAGGACAACGTGGCAAATTTGCGAGTGCGAATTTAAGAGGGATCTGTTTTACGTTGTGAAGCACATCTTCTACCACGTAACTATTCAATCATCGCGTTTTAAACTTCACGCATTGTTCACTTCACGCAGACCAATCCAATCTAGTACTGTAGTCGATAACTATTTTGTAATGAGGGATTAGTACAATTTAAGTAGCTAGGTATTACATAATTAACTGAATCGAAGCGCGAAAATGTAAAACATCTATCGATAGGTTATTTTCAAATAACAAGCTCAGCTTCTCTCGTTTATTAAGAAATGTTGGCCCTTTTCCGTCATAATAAGAAAACTTTTATTCCACTTATTACACAATATATTACGAAGCCATCTGTACCAATGCCAAATATTGAAAATAAGTTTCATTTATTATATTATGAGTGTGTGCATGGTTGCACTTGAGTTACTCACATTCTAGCAGTAACAACTGAAATGGCTTATGATTTTTTTAATATTCAATACTAGGATAAAATATATAATCGATCAACAACCTTCAATTGTCTTTTCCTAAATACATAATAGTAACCCTAAAACGTGTTTTTATCTTACATGTGGATTATCTTTTATTTAAAATCAAAACAGATACATGCCAATAAACTCGGTCAGGTCAAAACCATTAAATTTCTAAAATTGATTTTCAACATTAATCCCTTCGTCATAAAGTATAAATCTTGGAACGTTTATGGCCTGATGGGCTGTTAATTTACTGTGCCTCTACAATTCAGTCAAATGTACATTTTTGTACTTTCATAATTTTTTGAATTAAACAGAATTACAGTAAATCTTACGAAGAAATGTGGATTTTGTGCGTATCACTAATGTCACGATATGTCAACGTCAGCAATGACATCACTGTAAAGCCCTAAGATAGATTATTTCATCCATTCCACTTTAGCACTTATTACAATATGTATACATGCTAAAATTGGGATTAGTTTAAAACATCTTCGCCATTTTTATTTTCAGATTATTATAATTTGTAGATTCATCAATTATGAAATGCAAATAAATATACAACTGAATCCCTTTTTTCTTTTACATCCAATAAAACTCTGTTTCGTGTAAAATAAAATTTTTTATTATAAAAATATAACAATGTCCGAGCTCCATATTTTTGGTATAACAATAATGCCTTAAACTAAATGGACCAAAGTGACATCGAAACCATCCAGAAGACATTACATAAACAACTTACCAATAGAAACGACCACGTTTAATTACAAAAAAATATATGAAAATAACTAAATACTCATTTTCAATACACACAATATCCAACATTCACAAATAAAAAAAAAAAATATTTTAGAAATTAAATTATACATCTTTACCAAACACCAAAAAAATACAATATTATATCTATTTCGCAGTAAATCTAAGGATGTCCATTGGGATAAATAAAAGAATGTCAATTAAATGCCAAAATCTTAAGATACGAGATAAACTAATGATATACTTGTATTTTTTTTTTACATTTTAAATCATTTATTGCAGTTGAGACTTAATGACTTATTACGTTAGTGTTGATAAGCAAACTTAATTTTTTCAGCAATTTACTTCAATATACGCAACACTAGTCCTAGATGGCAGCACAAGCAAATGCCGTAAACAAACTAACTTTTTTGGACACTTTGTTAGAGAATGAAAGATTCGCTTTCTTTTTATATACACCCAAACTTGCCGTGGCCTAAGTTACTTCTTATTACATACGTTATCTGCAAGTGAAAGTCCCGTCAAAATTGGTGCAGCCGTTACAGAGATGAGCCGGAAAATACAGACAGATAAAGTAAATATTTAAAAATGTTATTTTGGTGTATAAACCGTGTAAACATGTGCATATAAAAAAAGCGGTTATTTTATTATTACAAACATACACGTCCTATTAAAATTATCGGTAGCATTATAAATATTAACTTTATTATATTTATAAACAGAGTCAACCTCAAAAACGCCTTTTGTTTTAAATCCATATTCTAAAGCCAAGTGTACAATGAAAAGTGTTGTACTAACTCTAGTTTTAATATAAAACTTCTGTGCGAATGTGCATGTCATAGACTAAATATTATATTACATATTGTGCGTGAACATAAACAACATATGAAAAATGTTTCTGCCATTATAATTTTACAATGAATAAATAATTTACTATTTAAATAAAAGGTGAAATTCTACTTTTATAATAAATTAATGATATGCAATTCCTTTGCCATAAATTATGTAATACATAAAACACTTTTTAATTACCTTTGCACCAAATGTAAATAGTATCAAAAGAAAATTAAAACATATCTGTATATTTAATAATAAGCTTATTGCGTTGTCACTGAGTTCAAAATCGCTCGTGTGCAAACAGATGATGTTATCGACCTTCTTTTACGATGAACTCTAAGCCAATGCTAGGTGCATTAAACTGACTTAAAAACTAACACCGTGCACAAAGAAAATGTAAATTAAAATAATAATCACAGACTGATAAATTGTCATTTTTTTTTTAATATTATCTAGAAATAAAGAATTATATTTACGCTAATCATGGCATCGCTTTAAGTATCTTCTGTATAAAGGCAGCTTGGATTTCATCAGCCCTATAATAAAAAAAAACCCTTATTTTAACACGTTACAAGAACATCAGCCGGATTCCAGATTGTGAAAAATACAAAATCTAAACTGATTATTATCAACAACTTAAATTTTTCACGTAACACAAGTCAAAAAGAATTCTATTTATATTATTCGTCTAGAAGTCTATTTATATTATTATTTAAAATCAGAAACTTAAAACTGTTTCCTCAATTTTAAATTCTTAATTCATTCAGAAACCGGTTATATGTTTTTTAACACCTTTACTCATAAAGCTGATGTAATGCCACCGGTTTTAAATATCACATACCTAGATCTAAACTGAGACAACTCAAAAATTTGAGCGAGTTTTGACTTAGTACAATATTCAAATGCTTGGTGATCATACGCATCTATCCAACATAACAGCTTCAATAAAAAGTTCAGGGAAGAGCCGCAAGATAGCTTTAGCTTTCTTTTGTTGAATCAACAGTGGTCGCGCTCCTGCCACAAATGTATTGTTAGACCTCCAAATTAGTATTTTGAGTTGTCTTAGTTTAGATCTAGGTGTACGTTATGTAAAGCGGGTCATAAACAACGCGTGTGTTACCAAAGCAAATAATTAAGTTATGGTCCATACAAATTCCATAAAAGTATTATTTGCCATTTCTCGCGCTGTTGCTATTCAAATTTCGAACTAATCGCCGCGCGGCGCCAGTCAGTAGGCAGCGCTAGCGCGCTGTTAAAATGGCGGGAAAGCAACAGTGTACATTCACAGATTGAGTTTATTTAATGTTTTTTTTTTCTGTTTCCTCGCAAATGTGTTAAAAAACGTCGTACGATATACGTGCGTATTGGTTATAACATGCTCGGCTCAATTACGTCCTCGCCTTCGGCTCGGGCTGAAATTCCGCCTCGCATGTTTAACCATCATAACGCACTAATATCGTAATGTACTATAACAAAATAACTCGGTATCTTTTTACTCCCTCGTAATAATGGATCATTTTATTTCTTTAATAATATAACAATTTAATATTAAATCTAAATAAATAATATACCCTATGCGTCTGTTTTGTTTACATACCGATGTGACGTCATCGATATAGCGGATGTTTTCGTGGGTATAAAATAATTGTAAGTTAATTTCAAAGCAAAAGACACTTTAATGAGTTATTAAATCAAAAAAGAAAGATTCACAGGTAACTTTCAAACAAATTAGAATACCCTACTGGTAAAGATATTATTATAGACTAGCGCTACGCCGTCGGCTTCGGTCGCATGGTATACACGATGACTTAATGGTACTTTTACCTCTAGAGAACCATTTAGTGGCATAGAAAGTAGGATAAATGTTAATCCAGGCTAAGCACTTTCCATATACCAAATGCTATTCAAATCCATTCAATAGAATTTGCGTGAAAAAATAAGAAATATATATCCATCGTCATTTATATTATTCATCATCACCAACCCATTAACGTCCCCACTGCTGGGGCTCAAGCCTTCCCTATGGATGGAATCGAATCGATCAGTGAGACTGGGCCATGACCCATCATGCAGGCCCGGTACGGATTGATAGTTATTAACGAGTGCAGGTGAAGCCTGGGCCAACGGCCTAACGTGCTTTCCGAAGCGCGGAGGTTTTCAGAGATAATAAATTTTTGGTCACCCATCCCATGACCGACCATTGCGAAAGGTGCTTAACACCCGTATCGCAGATTGAGCGCGCTAGCCACTGCGCTATCGAGTTTCTCAATTATTAGTAGATTTAAAAATGATAACTACTCACTTGTTACTTGTTACTGTGTGCATCAAGTTTATTATGTACCTCGGGCATACGTCCTCGTGCATGACGCGGGCGTGGAATAAAATTCCTTGACACAAACAGTACAAGAGCTCTACTAGAGGCAACCCTTCGGGGATCATACCTTTCTGGTAAGCCCATGAACCGAGTATCTGGGGAAGAAGGTTAGTAATAATAATACACATTTTTAGGAAAATTACAAAAGAAGAAACCGAGCACAAATGCATGCAGCAATCTCTTCAGGCAACCAATGGTGATAAAAAAAAAAGTTTATGCAATATAAGAAATGATAAATAACGGACATAACTTTAGACAAATATATACTAAGATGATTAAAATACAGACTTAGAGTTCTATAGCAGGTAAATAAAGAAGAAAGAATAATAAAGACTCTTAATTTTATCGCAAAACTTATTGACTGAACATGCTTTCTTGACACAATAACACAGAAATTACTAATAAAAGACGAAAGGATAAAGTTTGCACTCAAAAGTCCTAAATGAAATCCGTCGCGACATTCTTTTAGTAACAAGTGAACTGGAACGAGAGCTAAATTCTAAGAGATAATTATTAACTAGTGCGGTTACCGATCTAGGTACTAGTGTTGTGAAATGAATTATTGAAATCAAAGTGTGTATTTTGTTAAGGTATTATTTTTGTAATTTGAAATTGTTATATAAAGAGTCAGATTGTTAATTAAATTTGCAGTAACTATTTATCCCGAACCCGATCTAGCAACAATACATATGTATACTCACTTGTAACGTAGAAGTAACCGGCGCAAGCGCAATAGGCGTAGATGGAGAAGCTCTGAAAGCGGCACCGGCGAGGAAACCCGCGGGCAAAGCATATAGACTGCTGTCCTTCCCGTGCGCGCGACACAATAAACAGTTGACTAACTAAAAATTAATTATATATTCAGTAGGCTTAGCACAAATAAATTATTGAATTCCTATAAATTTTTATATATACATATTAATTTCCTTTACGGTTGTAGATGGCGCTGGGAGTATAATAGAATATAAAGGAAAGTGATTTTTTTATTAGTTATATTCAAAAACCACTAGACCAATACAAAATATTTTTTCGTCAATATAAAACTACAATTCCATTAAACAACATGGAGCTTAGACTAAAGACGTCATGTCCGCGGGGTTATCTAATATTTCTTTATGAAAGAATTTACTTTGAGGCCGGAAAGCCAGCTATTAGTGTACTTACCCTATAAATACCGATGTACCCCCCAAAAAAGATGCCTAACCTTAGATGAGAAAATTTTAATGACTTCAATGCTTTAGTGGGTGTCAATATTTTGGGTATAATCGTTCTTAACATTGTCATTGCACAACCAACACCGAACAGCTGCGCTGTACCCTAAAAAAAATTGTGATTTCTATTATAAGATTAAATAAATAAATATTAGACAACATCATATACACTGTTCAGATTTTAAGATGAGTAGCGTATTATGGAGTATCTGAGACAACGAAGGTACCACAACACCAAGACCCGAGACAATATAGAAAAGTTCATATTCTACATTGACCCGACCGGGAATTGAACCCGGGACCACAGAGATGACAACACCTTGACCACTCGACTCGGAAAGTTTACACTTAGGAGTGGGGAATTTTTTAAGCTTATTTATTTAAGTAAACTTGTTAAATAATGCCTTAATAATAGTCATAAGGATTGGAAATCAAACAGAAAAAATCAGATTAGCTCAGTAGCATAGTGGAAAAGTGCCGCGGCCTTCGATCTTGGTTGTTAAGTAACTTTGCGTCGAACACGGGATGGGTGACTAAAAAATATTATCTCGAGCCACTCCATGCTTCAGAAGACACGTCAAACCGGTGATTCTGGTTGCATTTGTAGTTGTTTAATACCCTCCAATCCGCGTGGGTCCGCGATGGGTCATGGCCTATCTCCCTAACCATCCATAGGGAAGGTCACCAAGGGCCACTGTAGGCAGTGGGGACGTAAAAGGGCTGATGATGATAGTAAGTTTATATCAATTTCGAGATTAATTCGTCGAATAGTTTTATTAAATAATAAAGATTTATATTTTAAAATTATATTTTTTTTTAATATTTAGTCTGTGACGACACATTAGGAATGGCGCTGGAATAATTCAAATGTCATTTACTGAACGACGACAAATATGAACTGACGTCATGTCGCCTCCGAGTCGCAGTTTATGCGGCCATTAAAAATACAAGTTTGGGTTAATAATAAGATTTATTCACATTTTTTTTGGAACAAGCATCCATATTCGTTTATAGCTGTTTCAAGTTTTTTTGAAGTTGTCCGATCCCCTGTTGTACCGATAAATGTTGGTAAACCTAAAACCTAATCTGACGGAAAATTCGTCAAGCGTCTCACGGAAGTAAGCGATAGTATGCTACGGATCATCCGTCGAGTTTTCAAGGTTGTATATCGCATCATATATTTGTCGGATCTGACGTTCCGTGACCGATGAGAAGCGACGCATTTTCAGTCTAACGTCCACTCACTCTTATCAATACTGATCTGCCGTCGGATGGCAAAACAGTAGTTCAAAATTGCGCATTTTCAAGAAATTAATATTTAATTTATTTTTTATAATTTTTGTTCATACTCGTAAACAATGTCAGGTAATAGTCTATAGCAAAAATAATATTGAAATAATAATTTTATTTACTAAGCCATTGTAATTTTATTAAAATTATGTTACGCTTAAAAGCTGTAACGGTCTCTGCAGCGTTTTGCTGTGAAACGGCAAAACGTAATTATTGTTTAACTTACTTTTAAAACATAGTTAAGGCATGGTTCTCTATGAGGGCAAGCAGGGCTCTTACCCTTGAACCCAGTCATGGGCTCTCCAGTCACCTTGGAAACCTTTGGTGGTGTGAAGAACCTGTGACAAATTAACATTATGCTATTTTTGACAATTTAGATATAGTTCATCTATTGAGACATTCTAATATACACGTAAATCATAATTATACATCTAATATGACCAAGCCCTAATTTTTAAATCAACACTATCCTTATTAGTATTTTTTATTTTTCATTGCATAAAATATAACACAAATTATATTTTCTTAATTATATTTTAGTAAAGATTTTAGTATGTCGCCCATACTGTCTTTTATAAGAACAAAAGAAAATACCAAAATAAAGGTGTCCTTTTCTCGTTCTCTCTATCACGACGCATACAATAGAAGAAGATGGCGCTACCCAACATGAAAATTAACGTTTCTCTACCCGGCGACCGCCTTAGCCAGCCTTTCATTTCCAATGTTCTTAACCAATACTCAAATACCTAAAATAACAAAGTTTGTTAATAAAACTGCATGTGTAACGTGACAAAAGTCGAGAAACCACTTTATCTACGCCATATGAGCACACATAGTGTTACCATATGAAAAAATCAAAAGTCCGGACAAAATACCGGATTTCCATTGGAAAATCCTGAGATCTTATTTTATTATTATCTCAAACGGGTTTAGTTTTTGATTATATTTGATAAAATTTGCATTCACATGCTATACTGAAATAATTGCTTCAAAAATTCGTCAGTCCCATTGGATCCTGGGTAGCTCAGCGATTAAAGCATTCGCCCGGATTGCGAAAAGTCGTGGGTTCGAGTCCCATCTCAAAGTGACAGGGACAAAGTGTTTTTTTTTTAAGCATTTTTCATTTTTTTTTTAGTTAAAGTGTCGTTATAAAACGGAACTTTATTTTTAATTTATATAACTTTTTATTAAAGAGATCATTGAAATGTACTACATTATATTAAAAAAATTAAAAATCTGTGATTTCAGTTAACATAATCCATATTAACAAAATCCGACCGCAGTCGTGACACGAAAAAAGTGATATGTGGGTATAGACAAAACTTTCTCGAGATTGTCAAGCTACGCAATACTGGTGATTAAAAGTTGTATTATACATTAATTAATCATAACTATTGACTATTAATTAATTACCATGTTTAAACGACACTTTTCTATTCTACAATCAATTTTCAACTTTTCTAACAACAAATAATAAGATTTAAAGTCTGACTCTGACCGAGCCAAACATTAAAAATAATAAAGAAATAATAAAATGAAATTACCAAATTGACAAACAGATTGACAACTAGCACTCTTCTATGTGGAGGTTCGAAGTACACAGCTAAACCACTGACAGTACACGGCAGCAGTACTGTTGTGTAGTATGAAAATTCACTAAAAAACAATTTCCTGTAAACATACAAATATAATTGAATCCGTCATAGTGTCTGTTATTTTCTCAGTAAACCGTGATTATTTTTTACAACACTGCACATTAAGGTTTTTGAACAACAAACCAGAATAGACTTAATTAATATCGCCATAAAGTTCAAGTTTCATTAGTCATCGTTAATAAGAACACAACTTTGCCGTTCTAGTTCTCTGTGCGATTTTAAAAACCAACATCATAGGTACTACGACGGTGGATTGAAAAGTTCGCGGCCTCAGCAAGAAAACAATATAAAATATAAGCAAAAGTAATTTTATTTTTCCACGTTATTTCCACTTAACTCTATGCACTTCTTCCATCTGGTTTTCAACGCCTGTATGTTGGTCATAAAAAAAGTTTCTTCAAGGCCTTCAAAAAAGTCACCAACCGCAGCTTCGACCTTCTCATTTGTTGAAAAGTTTTGACCTCCAAGGTGTTTTTTTAGGTTTGGGAATAAATGACAGTCTGAAGGTGCCAAATCAGGGGAATAGGCGGGATGGCGCAGTAATTCTAAGCATCGATCACGAATTTGAGCCATAGATTCTACAGACGTGTGAACGCGTGCATTATCCTAATGGAACAACACTTTCTTGCTGAGTAATCCTGGCCTTTTCTCTTTGATTGTTTCGCACAAGCGACGTAACAGGGTGCAGTAATAAGCTGAGTTTATAGTTTCACCTTTTGCAAGATAGTCCACCATGATGACACCCTTAGCATCCCAAAAAACTGACGCCATCACCTTGCCAGCTGACAAAATTGTTTTGGTTTTTTTTGGAGTCGGTTCATCACGTTTTTTCCACTGCTTGGATTGCTGTTTTGACACTCGGGTGTAGTGGTGTACCCAAGTTTCATCCATTGTTACAAATCTGGATAAAATATCTTGTGGATCAGCCTCAAACATTTCCAAACAGTCGCGAGAAATCGTGAGGCGTATTCGTTTTTGTTCGACTGAAAGCAATCTGGGTACCCACCGCGCAGAAACCTTAGAAAATCCTATGATGTTTTGGGTTCGTTCATACGAGATGCCAATAGTGTCCGCAAACTCCCTGAGGGTCAATCTCCGATCTGTCAATATCAGATCACAGATTTTCCCGATGTTTTCTTCAGTCGTAGGTCATAGGCCGGCCAGAGCGAGGGTCATCTTCAATACTCTCTCGTCCGCGTTTAAATTCAGCAACCAACTTTTTCACAGTAGTATACGACGGAACAGATTCCCCCAATGTTGTTGACATATCCTCGTGAATCTCTTTTGGATTTAGTTTTTTTTTTGAACAGGTATTTGATGACCGCATGTTGCTCAATTTTCTCTATTCTTTAAAAATGCTGCACAAAGGCTCACAAAATTCAGTCTAATTCAACTACAGTTCTTCTTCTTCTTTTATTAATGGCTTATCTGCGCATTTCGCACAATTCTGCCAATGTCAAGTGAATAAATAAATTGCTACATATAAAATGAAAATGAAATGAATGAAAGATGGCGATGACTTCCAATATCAACGCGTGAATCCCTTAACTAAAGTTAATGCTATTTCGAAAGAATTTTTACAATTTGATAACCAGAGAGTAAACTAATTGAATGAGGTCAGTTACATTAAAATAGTTTAAGTATTTATGTGTTAGGCCGCGAACTTTTCAATCTTCTCTAGTACATACATTGATTGTTTCAATTAAATTAGAACAATTTATTCCCATACACTTGATAGCACAATGGCTAGTATGCTCAGTCTGCAATACAGTTGTTAACAACTTTTGCAATGGCATGTCATAGGATGGGTGGCCAAATTTTATTGCGGTTGCATCTGAAATCGTTTATAGCCACCAATCCACACTTGGTCCACTTGTGGTGGGTCAAGGCCATTTCTCCATATTTGATTTGATTCATTAGGCTGGTGATAATGATGTGATGATTCTAATACAGATTTGCTAATACTTACCGGAATATACAATTCAATGTAACAAAAGAACTGCCCACTGTTAGGCCGAATATTCCGGATTTCAGGTACAATCTGAACTGCTCCATTATTTCCTTCTTACCCAACTTCTTTCCTCTCATTAATATTTGTATCTGTAATTAAAAATCAAAAAGAAAATAAATCCTCACAAAGGCCTATGAGTCATACAAACTTATGATACTCAATAATGTTAACCTAACAAAACTAATCTTCCAGATGTTATGGTCTCATCCGCCATATTCAAGAATATCATGTAATGTACTTATTTACACCAAACCTTTCAATGTTAGGAAATATTTAAAAAATCACAAAAAAATACTTCTGTTATTCGGGAATAACATAAAAAAAAGTCATTTGGTAGTTTTTTATAATTTATCAACTGCAAACAAAGAAATAAATCAGATTGAGTCCTATTCCTTTTAATTCTTTTCTTTTATCCTAAAAAAATATTCGGAATCACCAATGAAGGAACACACCAAAGTTTCCTGAGAAACTTCAACGATGAATAGATAATTTGATCAAATATTAATTAATTGAAACAAAATGTTATTTTTAACTACATCACTATATAGCAAATTAAAAATATTTTTAATGCTTGTTTTAAGCATTAATTTAAATTCATTATATATTTTTTATACAATCGCTAGCTTTTCACGTGTCTTCTCCCATGTGGTCAGTAGGGAACGGTTTATTTGGGTATTGATTAATATCAGGGATTATAATTATATGCAATCGGACAGGACGTGCTAAGGAAAAATGGATACAGCGCAAGGAGGTCATACCCTATCCGAAGGTGTAAGGAAAGACTACCTAAGGTTCCCAGGCAACAGGCATTTTTAGGCTATGTTAAGGGAGTAACGGACAAAATCGGTTCCATTTTGAGGAAAAATTTTTCTATAGACACCATTTTTACTGCTTTATCAAAAATGTCACACCAATTGCGATCACCAAAGGATAGTATTCCTTACCAAAAACCTGGCGTTTATAAAATTGACTGCAGCTGCGGTAGTTCATATATCGGACAAACGAAGCGGACTATCGCCGAACGTGTAAGAGAACACATAGCAGCGGTCAAAAATCGTCAAGTGGAGAAGTCCGCGATTGCAGAGCACTTATTATCATCTGGATCAAACCACTGGATCGAGTTACATACACCTCATGTCCTTTCCACTGAACGACATTACTATCCAAGGATTGTTCGTGAAGCGGTTGAAATCAAAAAACACAACAATTTCAACCGGGAAAGTGGATATAAACTCTCACCAACGTGGAATCCGGTTATAAAAATGTATAAGTGTCGCGATCGCAAACAACCACGAACAATATTCTCGGATACCGTAAGTGCAGTGTGTCGCCACCTTAACGTATAATAAAATCAAGTGGAGGGTACATCTGAAAATCAGTTAAAAACATTATTACCGGATTACCCTCAACTAAAATCAGAAGACGACACCCGCCAGTTCTCCAGTCTCCTCGTGACCACGGCTAATGTAACGTAGCCGAAACGTCGAGGTAAATTAATTGTTTTAAAAAATGCACGAACAAGACCCGATTGCATATAATTATAATGTATACAAATCGTGTGAGTTTAAAAATATTATTAATATCAGGGATGTTATATCGGTTACAGATATTTAAGAATTGTTTTATTGGTTTCGGATTAAAATTTGTTCCTGATTATCCAGTAGTTTCAGTTATGGATACTAGATTTCTGAACAATTTTAATTTTAAATAAACAAAAACCATATTTTATTTCTAGAGGTATTTCATTTTATACCTCCAACAAATTAAGTTACAAAAGCAGACACTTATGATGTTTAAACAAAATTCTTACATAATGTCAGATTCATTTGGTATTAAAAATTATCTAATGATTTTCATTTCTATAGAGCATGATTTAATGAATATTTAATTGAACACCATAGATAATACAAAGGATATACATCAAATAGAAAATTGAATATATATAGTTTATTAGTATAGCAAATAAAATGGGTTGGAGTCAAAATGGTGTTGCTATTGTGCTATCTATGTGGTTTTGTCTGATATGACACTTTCATTTTGGAAAAAGTTGTCAATAAACACATTGCTTCTTATGGCCACCCTACTGTATCCAGAGATAAAAACTATTTTTGCCATAAATCTACAGTTTATTTGCTACATATGAGTATTATAATATTAATATTTCAATATGAATATTAACATTAGTGAACTATACCATATAAGAAATTGCGCAATGATAAAAAAATATCCTATGTCTTTCCATATTTAATCTGTGAGTTGACTGCAGACGAAAAAAATATATAATTAATATGTGTAAACACACAACACATTCTCCCATTTTAAAATAATGGTTTTCAAAACTGTGAGTCATGTGATTACAAACGACATTATAAAAACGATGATGTTGCTTAAACAGTTTCAGTGTGTTTATATCAGCGATCTTTATAAAATTTAAACAGTGTCAAACAATATTTTTTCGATTGAATTGAATCGCTACATTTTCAAACATGTCCAAAAGAATATTCTTGTCCCACACTGTCACTGGCACTTTGAGATGGGACTCGAACCCATGACCTTATACAATCTAGGCGACTGCTCTAACCACTGAGCTACCCAGGACCTAACAATAATAATAAGATTAATTAGATAATTAAACATCCAGTAGTTTCGGAGCCTATTCATTGCAAACAAACAATATAATCTGGGCTCAGTATAATATTAGTACAGATAAGTTAGAAAGTCGCTAAATATGAATACTGTAAAGCAACCAAAAAGTTTTTTTATGTTTAGTTTCCCATGACAAGAGTATTAAAAAAATTTATTTCAGTTTTAATAATACCTTACTATTTACATTGTTTTTACCAATAAGCATGTCCACCAATAGCAGAGATTGAACAATTCCTTTTCTCCACTTGGTTAATGCAATACAATGAGAGTTGACTTCAAAATTAATTGCAGACCTGGCATGTAAGATTGAGTATAACTAATTTTAGAATTAGTTAACATCATACTATTCTAACATCATTATCATCAATCGAGTAAGACATTATGGCTTCTAATTAGCTTAGTCCAAAGTCTTAATGTTCAACTTTTGTTACTTAAATAAATATGGACTTTTCCTGTCTTAAATTTTAAATAAAATGGAATAAATATATATATTTTTTATTCCATAACAGAATTTCCCATTAGGTGGCAGAATAATTACTACAAATGCAATCAGTGTCCAAGTAGTTCTAGCAATATACGTTAACCACTACTAGAATAAACAATATTGTATTAATTTTACTCACAAGATAAACCATAGCGTAAAACTTGTAACTCCCTCGTATACAATGCCATAACATAGATGTTGTCGCGTCGCAACATCTATCCGTCCAGGGATGAATAAGAGATTTACACTCACTACTTCCACATGCTTTTTCAAACCAGAACTTGCTTGCCTCGACCATTTTTGTAACAATATAATACAACTATAAACCCGGGACAATGAAACTGTATAACTTCATAAAGGTGAACTGGTATAGGCAATATAATTAGAGCTATCGATTAAGACTATTTATAATTCTCTAATATCGCTTTTAAAACTTTCGGGATTGTATATCAATTACAAACATCCCCACCACAAATATATAGATATTTTTTATTTTCTATAACAATTTTCCTGAACCAAAAGCAACAATAAAGACGTCAACGCTCGTAAGGATGAGATTAACCATTAACTGACAATGACAGTCAGTATTGCCAACCCCAAGAAACTAGAAAACGATAGCTCACCAATAAAGTGCCATCCATAGATAACACATAGATGTCATCCACACAGTAGGTGGTCGGAGCTTCAACCAACGACTATTAATCTATAGAAAATGCTAGACAAAACCAGAAAATTCTACGTGATGTGGGTACTTGCTGTCATCTGAATTAAGCTACTCGCTGCTAGACGGAGTATGATGTTGCGCTTCTGTTGATACAGATAAGTTGGTATTGATATGCCGTGCTGCTACTTCCTTCGTCACACAGATGTCACTGTCAAGTGAATCCAGCTGTGAGACATTTTAAGTGACCGAAATGAAATGAAAAAACTAAAATCTGAAGGAAAACTAAGTGATGTTAGTTTTAAACGTTAAACGTTAAATTTTAAATTTAGAAACCAAGTATGACATTTCCTAAATTATTGTAGAAAGAAAAGAGTTCTCCAAAAAATTGTTTCAATGGGGTAATACTCCTTAAACAACGGGATCGTTAATTAAACTCGACAAATCTTCCAGCGATTCATCATTAACACAAATGTACTTTGTTTTAAAAACATTAAGGAATTTGTTATTTATTAAAATAGTATATAAATAATAAAAAGAACAATTAAAAAATGCGTGATATCAAAAGACGAATTAAAAAAAAACCCTGGTTGGCTGTATCATTGATACAGCCATATGAGTAATTGATAAAAAAAAATCACCAGTTCCAGATACACTAAGATGGGATTCGATAAAATTCGGTTGAAAAAGATTTTTATGATTTTCGATACCATTTACTTTTGCAGTGCGTTTTTGCTTTTAACAAAGCACCCTACATTTATTTATTCTACCCATATTTGTTTCTTTGTAAAAATAAACTTATATAAAGAATTAAGTAAATAAAAATAGAAGAAGAAATACTATTCAATTATAATTATGTTTAAGTACCTACAGTAGGTACTTCAACAGATTTTTTTTATAATATGATTGGTAATGTATATCGAACATGTAACATGCAATTAAAACATAACTACATTAAAACATGCAATACTCTCAAATGCTTAACCAAATATTAGCATACGATTATGTGCTAATAAATAGTATTTGATTAAATCATATACGAATATTGTATTCAGTTTTAAAAAGTTTTTTTTATATTTCGCCATTTATTAATATGTAAATTTATAACGAATGAAAAAAATCGTTCGTAGTGTAAAAATTAAAGTGTAATCAAGTTATCGATTATTATATACATTACAAGTAGAACATCCTTAACAGCTTCATGTACGACATGACAGTAAAGATGTCGGCGATTTATTGTAAAATATTCATGCTTGTTCATATTGGGGCCATTTTCGACGATGTCCTTTACATGAATTTGCACGAATTTATTTATTTTTATTTAAAGATTAGCAAATTCACTCAAAAATATTTTACATTTTATTGCTAACGCATATAAAGCTATATTTACGTGTTCGTAGATGGATGTGTACATATGCATACATATGGCATAAAGCTAATTTTTTTATTTATTGTATTATATTTATTGTATTGTATATTATAATGATACCTTTTGAATAATTTTTCCAGATTTGTCAATTATATATGTCGTAAAATCTGCTTCTTTAAAATGTTTTTCACAAACTTAAAAATTTTCACCAACATCCAGGTTAGGAAACACATCACGAATAGCTTTTAACCACTCTTCACGTCTATCAATGTTCTTTGGCACTCTAAAAACTGAACGATTCGCTTCTCCAAAACAACCCGGAATTATGCAACGTTGTGACATAATTGCATTTATAAATGAATAATTCAAAAAAAAGAAAAATAAACAAATTGAAGACACTAAACACTAAATAAATAAATATTCGTTGCGTTCATTTGTTTAATGAAAAAGTATTCACTAGCGCCAACAGATGGCGTTAGTGCATATACTCCTGCTGACAGAATGCCCCTCCCCCTGCAGAGCAAGCATAGTTCACTTATACGCCAATAGATACATAGTTCACTTATACGCCAATAGAACGAATGCTTGGTTTCATTTGTCGAACATCTAAAGCTTTTAAGAAATCTAAAAGTGTCTTACTTTTGTACTATAGCTTGGTTAGGAGCATTTTAGAGTATGGAGCTGTCATCTGGGCGCCTTTCTACTCGATTCATTCTGATCGCATTGAGAAAATTCAGAATAAATGCTTAAAAATTTTATGTTACCGTACAGGATATGGTCGGATTTTGTCATCGTATAGTGAAAGATTGTCTAGATTTAGTGTACAAAGGCTTGACGTGAGACGGAAATATATGGATTTAGTCTACCTACATAAGATTATCCATTCGCGAGTTGATTCTCCGGAATTACTATCTCTGATCAACTTCAACACGCGTTTCAGAGTTCGCCATCCAAACATCTTCTTGCTGCACGTTTACAGAAATAACACGTCCTATTATAACCCAATTATCCGTATGTGTCGTCTATATAATGATCTAGCGGGGAAACAGGAAAGCTTGGACATTATGAATGATCGCCTTGGTCTGTTTAAGCGATGTATTACCGATGTGCTTATTGAATCGTGTTGAATGTGTAATTATTAATTATTGGTTACAATTTTGGGATTGATTTGTAAATTTATTGTAATTAGTTTTAATGTAATCTAATTTTATTCTTTATTTTATGCATGAAAAATATAATATACTATTATGCAACCTTTATAATTGTCATGATAAGGCCACGAGGATTTGGTTTACAATCTAGTTTATAAATTACTTGAATTGCTGTAAATTAAACTCAATTTGATTGTGAACTGTTTTGTGTCCTAACTTAATAAATAAATAAATAAATAAATAAAAGATAGCGTTAGTGCATAAGCTCCTGCTCACAGAATGACCCCCCTGTAGAACGAAAACATAGACGTATCCACGTCAAAAAAAGGTGAACCGAGTTCATCCCGAACTATCAAAGCCACGCCCGCCCACCAGCCTAATGCCAACCGCGCGCGCTATCCAATCACAGCTCAGATCTGGCTAGACGGCTACATTATTCTGGCCGAGGATTTTCCTCTTGCTCAGTCGCCGCCGATCGTTTGCGATTAAGTGACGTTGCCGCATATCGCCGCCATCGTACCGCTGCGAAGCGCCTTTTTTGTGTTTTTGTTTTAGTGCATTTTTAATCGCTTTTTTGTAAAGAAGATACTACAATGTTGATCTTAAGTGTTTAAATTTAGTTTAGTTAAGACATTATTTAGTTTTGTGTGAAATGTGATGTGGTTTGCGCGCGCATGCACCGACATGCAAAAGAGCGTGCTTAGCTCAGTCTTCAGAGAGGAAGTGGACATTTTCAGCATCGACTATCATTAAGATATCGCTAATAATTCAATTAAATTAATGTATTTCGCATTCCGTTGTAATCTGCACACAAACGATATTGCGCATGCACGTTATAGGCCTGTCAACACTTAGAAATTTAAAATTCTAACTCCATTTTTACACCTTCTCTATTTTGAAATATTTGTCAAATAAAATGAATGATTGCATGAAACATAACTTGAGACTTTCGGCTGTGTCGGTCATTTTGGGGCTGTCGGTATTAAAAAAAAATATATAAATAAGGATTACTGCCCTTATATAAACAACTTCAAGGCCCTAACGCTCCCTGAAAGTGCCACCTTTTGCGAAAGGAGTTTTTCTGCAATAAACACCTATGCTCCAGAATCGTTTCTCTCAACTATCTTTAGTAAATATAGAAACGAATTGGTGATAAATACAATGCCATTAATTAAAAATAAGAAAAGGACTCAATTTATCGAGACAGGTATATACAGTAAACGAAAACAAATACATTTGTTTTTGTGTTAGTATTTATTATACTGTTACCGATAATCACACTACCATGCTTATTTTATTTATAATTAATTAATTGTGAAGAAACACTTATTTTATAATCGTTGTCGCGTGACTGCAAACAGCGCGTGACGTCACAGTCCTCTAAGGAAGAATAAACCTGCGCATAGAACGATGTTTGTTTTTATTGTTTAGATGAGTTTCAGAGGGCTGTGACGTCACATTGACGCCATCACAGAGATTATCGATTTAGCGGAAATTTTTGAATTTTTTTTTTATTGTAATCTAATATTTGAGAGATATTTTTTTTATATATTTTATACATTATTACATTCGTATTAATTTAAACATTATACTTATTACATTGCATTTATGTTACATATCACTATCGCTAGATAGTAAAAAACAAAGTCATTTTCTGTCCTTATGTATGCTTAAATGTTTAAAACTACGCAACGGATTTTGATGCGGTTTTTTCATGAATAGGGTGATTCAAAAGGAAGGTTTTCACATATAATACAAGACCACGCGGGTGAAGCCGCTGGCGGAAAGCTAGTATTATTATAATATACATTATGTATAAATTAGTTTCCCAGTCCAATCCTCAAGGATTTTTATAGCACATGCCTTCTAAAAGGGAACATTCAAGAAGAAGATGAGTGTCAATGCACCGCAAAGAATATACAAAAATGAAAACTGATTTTTAATTAAATTCAAACGCATAGACATTGAGCCCCTAAAATATGTCTAAGTCCCAATCTTCTCAGCCTGCCAAGGGGCCTGCTAGTGGATTATAAAATTATATAAAGGCCATAGATAGTACTTACGATAGAAAATGGTGCAAAGAACTTAAATGAACCCATAAGGCAAATGGAAAACAT